CGAAATCTTTGCCGCGTCGAACGAACACGCGCTCGCTCTCGAAGATTTGAACACGGCGAACGAATTCGAGCTTCCGAAACGTTTTCAGTGAGTAGCAGCGAGAGTAGCGCCGACTCGAGCATGCCACGTCGAAACGATTCGTGTCGCCTCGTGTTTTCGTTCACGAACGAGAGAATTTTTGTCCCTTCAGGGTCGAATGTGCGAGGAAGAAGGAAGAATGCGAGAGACGGTTGCGGGCGAAGGAGAAAAGTCTAGTTCTCAAGATCCACGGTAAACGAAACATCCAACATCGGTAAAGTTAGGCATGCGCGATCGAATATAATGAATTTTCGAGCGAGAAATTACAATTGCGGATAATAACTTTCCGATCGTGGGGCTGGCTTGAAACAGATTGACTTTCTAGCGGAGCTACCTCGGGTGAGCTGCGGCGAACATCCGAGTATGCCGGCCGCATCGGCGCTACTGGATGTCGAGGAAACAACAACAGCGGGGAAACGAGCGATCGCGAGCAAAGAAATCGATCCTGGGGCCACACTGGTGGTCGAACCGCCGCTCGCGTCTTGTCTGCTACCCGAATTTTTCGGCACGCATTGCCACCATTGTTTCTCGCGGTAAGTATATTCGTCCACGTTTCCGATCACGGCACCGTTCTTCACTTTCAAACTTTCTTTCAGACTGAGAAGACCCATAGGATGCTCGAATTGCAGCAGCGTCGCATTTTGCAGCAGAACGTGCCGTGACGAGGCGGTGACGAGCTATCACAAGTACGAATGCAAAATACTGGTGCTGCTGATAGGTAACGACGAACACGCGACGAACCCCTCGAAAAGTAGTTTGTTTGATTTCTCGGGGAATTCCTTTAGGCTCGGGCATGAGCGCTCTCAGCACGCTTGCTCTGCGAATGGTCACGCAGTCGGGTTCGCGCGAGTGCGCAAGCATCGGTCGCGCGTTGAACCGACGGAACGGAGAAGACGACCACCGGAAGACCGAGGATGAACCTGAAACGAAATCGACGACGAAGCCAAGCAGATCGGCGAAACGACGAATTAGAAAGAAAATGTTACGGGACTCGAAATACCAGAGAGAGAAACCGGATACCGAAAACGGGGCCGTGACCGAGAACGTATCGATGGACGAGAAGAAGGAACAAGAATCCGTTGACCTTCGAGCATACGGGCTGGAGATGCACGCGAACCGGAGAACGGCCGAAGACTTTTTCGAAAGATCGTTGATGGCGGCTTTCCTTCTCAAGTGCCTGCAGAGAGTGGAGTTTTTCGAAAATCCAACGGCCGACAACGGTACGAAATTATCACGCGAGAGATTCACAAGCCTGGAGTGAGAATGTGATTTCGTACGCGGCTGCCTTTTCAGAAGCACCGACTCAGTTGGAAATTCAAGTGGGCGCCCTGTTGCTGAAGCATCTTCAGCTGTTGCAGTTCAATGCTCACGAGGTGTTCGAGACTCGAGTAGGAACGGAACATCGGTTTCGCGGTAGCAGGCCAGTTTACATTGGCGTGGCGATCTATCCGACAGTGGCTCGCTTCAACCACGACTGCTATCCAGCTGTAACCAGGTAAAAAATACTTGGTCGCCGTCGCGTAGGTAAACGAGAGAAACAGATCGGATCGCGGAGAACTTTCAGATCCACACCTTGAACCACGCGCAATCGCGTTGCAATTATAGGTACTTCGTCGGTCGATCCATCGTGATTCGAGCGACTCGCAGTTTCCGTGTAGGAGACACGATCGCCGAAAATTATGGACCGATATTCACCAAGAGAAGCCTGGAGGAGCGGCAACGAACTTTGGCCGGAAGATATTGGTTCCGATGCGAGTGCACGGCTTGTCGCGAAAACTGGCCCCGCTTCGATACAGCGTTGACGAACGACGACGCGCGGCTGAGGTGAGTGCTCTTTCGATCCGAGCATGCTTAAGTAAAATAAGTATACACGCCCCAGCAACGACGCTACCAACCACCGTGGAGCATAGCGAGGGCACGAGAAGGTGACGAGTCGACCAACAAACGCGATAAACAGGGGCTACGCGGGGTTATCTATCGATATTACTCTTTGTAAAAGTCGAAACGGCGATTGCGTCGCCCGACCGCGCCGCCCGCCCGGGAAGAAATCGCGCATAACTGTCTGCCCAAGGCCACGGCATTTCGCGAAATTCTTCGCCTTGGATACTTCGATAACGAGTGTCCAGTGGCTCGGCCACGTCTTCAAAAATCCCCGAAAACTAACGTATATCGCGACGTGACCGTCGGAATGCAAATTAACCGTTTCGACCGGTAATTATACGCACGTTCACGAGTGCAATCATTGCCACGATCATCCACGCGGGGCAATTCTTCCCAATACATATTCTATTATTATCCAGTCACCGATCGTCTCGAACGAACGGCTGCGTTTTCAACGAATTGCTGCCGTAGATGCCCGACACAAGGATGCCGGAAGCTTCACCGAAGACCACGAGATACGGGCAAATCGATCGAGTGTTCGGCCTGTCGACGAACAATCGATCTACGCGGATCCCTCGCGTCTTTGCGCGAATGCGAGGATCTATACGGGCAGGGGTTCGCAGCAATGGACCAAGAGCAGCTCGAGCGGGCTTTGGAAGCGTTCCTCGAAGCGGCGAAAATCTTTCACCGAATAGCCGTACCGCCCCACAAGGACACACACTTGGCCGAGATCGCGGCGAGCGCGTGCATGGCTGACGCTGGCAACGTCCGGAGACAGACTCCTCTCCTTTCATCGGAATCGAAGCCGGACGATTCACACGTTCGCCAACGAAACGCGATACACTTCTGAAAACCCGCTCAACGCCTAATCAACATCTCGCCAACCTGTATTTACCTACATCCTTCCGCTAGTCTGCAATCCTCTTTTTCCATCTGCCGCGATGCCGAAACAGATTTGCTCCGTCGACCGATCAATTTTTCCCAACGAAAAAACAATCGAGATTCGGCATCGATATCAACTGCTTTCGTATCTCGTATGTGCACAAAACACCCGTTCAATAAAGCTTCCCCTGTCGCGCGTTATCCCGTCGAATTTCCCGACAAAATTCAAATCGATTCGATCGATTCTAGGGACGCAAACGTTAACGCGATTCTCTCTGCGCCCCTTCCTGTCAGGTGTCTGACGAGAACATGTACATAAAGTTATCGCAACATTCGTTCGAAAAGAGCCAGACAAAGGCGGGGACCGCACAAACTCTGTCGCGACCTCCGACAAACTAGGAAGGCTTGGTTCTAATCAGACAGTCTCTCGACTCCCGACGCGACGCGATCTTACACGCGCAACGCTCGCGTTGCGTAATTTCACTTTCGTACTACGTAAGCTCAACGATAAATCTGGAATCGTACAAATTTGCGCGTAAATTTACGTGCAAGCTACACACGTTTAGGTACACTCTATTCCAACAAACGATGCATAAAGCTCGTGGTTGTAACGTTAGCCGATGCGTTGATAAAATATTATCACTGTAAACGAATCTTTGTTTTTTTAAAATCGATCATCCCACAATGCTAACAATAAGGTCATTCGACGCCAAGTCGATCACTTTCCTCCCTCGATGTCTGGGATTTTCTTCAAAATGAGATAGGATCTAGTTCACGTGGAACCAATATTTAAGAAATACGAGCCTTTGAATTTTCTGATTTTTCCCCATTTTCATGAAAATGGATTGTACTTGTGAATTTATATCTCGGAAACTGTTTATCGCATTCGGTTCGTTTTTTTTTTCTTTTTTTAATCGAGAAGATTCAGCCTTTCCAATGAAATTGTTTCAGGTTGAAAAATCATTTTGGCAATAGGTATCGACAACTCTAAAGAAATTGTTATTTTGAAAATTTCGGCTCGAGATGGCGATTTTACAAATCCGACAAAAATACTACAGTATTCGTTCAAATGTTTTCCATAAAATAAGCCTATCGGTAGATCAGTAAAGTTAGTACTCAGTAAGCGTCCCGGTTCAATTAAAAAAACCGTGCGTCGTGCCAGGGATTCCGTCATTACGGTCGCCTGACCGTACTGTTACCACTCCAGAATATTTCAATTAGGTCTAAAAACAATATCGATAAGTCTCGTGCTTGTCTTAGTTCGCGATTAAAACAAACAAGGAATCAATCCAATTTCCTGTATTTCTTAAATAAATTTGAACTGGAAAATAGATGACTTAAACCCCCCTTTCCCTAATCCCACGTGAACTAGATCCTATCTCATTTTCAAGAAAATCCCAGACATCGAGGGAAGAAAGTGATCGACTTGGCGTGGAATAATCCATCCCGCAACTGTGATCTCCGTGTTACGTGTTAACATTTTCCGAATGATCGGTACGTGGCATCAATTCCTCAGCGAGTTTTCTATGAAATCCACGAATGAAGAAGAAAAGGGAAAGTGACAATTCAGGGTAAACGAAATACAGTCGATATTCGGTTCGTCGATTTTGCGATTTTTTTGGCATTTATTTTTTTTAATGCACATGTTTCGTGAAAAAATTAAATTCCGTATATGAAATTACCTTTTTCGAAGTTTCGCGTTTTGGTACAAAATTCACTGGGCTGGAAGGATTCGGGTGTCTGAGAGAAAGGAAAAGGATAGGGATGAAGAGGGGAATGGGGACACGGATCAGAGGCAGTCACCGGACGACAGCTCGAAAGCACATGGACGAAACACAACGAAACGAAACGAAACGAAACGAAACGAAACGGAACGCAACGCAACGCACCGCAACGCGTCCACCAAAATCTCTTTTTTCAAGAATCATACGTTGTTTGGTTAGTTTCGGGACACGCTACAGATCAAACTACGAACTTATCGCAAAAAGAAAAAAGGCAATCGAAATTAATTGACCGTCGCGTAGCGGTGCGCGGATGCGTCGTCGTCGTCGTCGTCGTCGTCGTCGTCGTCGCGGCCCCACGCGAGTTCTCCGGAAATGCAAGCAGTGCCGGCGGCGGAGGGATGCTCTGAAGCGAAACTGTCGTTCACCAGAGAACGGTCGAGGAGCACGTCGCGAACGCTCGCGTTCATTTTCACGGCTTCGAGTTCGGTCGAGCGCGCGAGGACATGCTGCCTCGATAAAACTCTCGAACGATTTTCATCTCCAATCGACCGTAATCGTAGAACAGTTTCTCCGTTGCGACGAGCGCGGCCGAATTTTCAACCGTAGCAGTCAACGAAACAAGAGGGACGAGCCAACCGTCCCGAATATCGCGTTACGTGTATATCACGCTCGTACCTTGGTACGTTCGATTTTTCTTGTACGTACAATTTCTGTTTCTTTTTTTTGACTTCGATATTCACTTTCAACACATGCATTGTTCTTTTTTTGCATTCAATTACAATGTTTGCATCCTAAGCGTTACTTTCTTTCTTCGCTCTCTTTCACTCTTCTCCTCGTCGCTGACGACGCACCCCTTTCCTTTGCTTTCCTTCTACTTTGTACTTTGTGGGAGTGCTATAGCTCGATCGTAACTTTTCAATGGGAAAACGAACGAACGAACGAACGAACGAACGAACGAACGAACGAACGAAAGACGGTTCGCGTATCTACGCATTTTCTACAAAAGTTGTCACACGTGTTCCGTATAAATTATCAAAATTCACCGAAAAAAAAAACCCTGATCGTGCTTTACTTTCTCCCACTCGGCACTGTACTCACGCGCACACTCTCCTCGCATTTTCCGTCTTCTTTGTCTGCAATATTTTTCAACCGTGAAAATCTTATCGCGAATACGCGTCGAATGACAAAAGCGCGAACCTTCTCATCGACTAATGCAAGTAACTCTGCGACGACGACCGGGAGAACAACGATAACGACAAACAACGGCGACAAAGAGAAAAAATAAAAATAGATCTGATATTTTTGGAACAAACAAAAAAAACTTATTTAGCTGTAACGAACTGCATGGAAATTTCGAAGTATTTTCAAAGAAAATTGTACATTTTATTTTCCGACGATAGGACTACAAACTAAAATTTAAAAAAGTAGTTTAGTTTTCATGCAAAATTATATAAATAACTCTCTCTCTCTCTTTCTCTCTCTCTCTCTCTCACACACACACACACACACACACACACTCTCTCTCTCTCTTTCTCTCTCTCTCACACACACACACACACACACACACACACACACACTCTCTCTCTCTCTCTCTCTCTCTCTCCGTGTGTGTGTGTGTGTGTGTTTCTCTCACTCGCACAACTCTCTCCCTCTGTGTGTGTGTGTGTTTCTCTCACTCGCACACGCTCTCCCTCTCTTTCATTCTGTCTTCTTTCACTCTTTGTCTCCCTCTTTCACATTCTCACTCCATCGACAAATTGTAGATTTGAATCGTCAATCGAGTCGTAGCAAAATGACTACGATTCCTTTGAATCGTACATGATCGACATGCGCGAACTTTTGAAAAGCTGCGCGAGCATGAAACGTCGTCGATCTGAAAACCGCGAAGAATTGATTGAACGTCAGGCCCACCAGGGGCATCGGTCGAATTATCGTCCAGGCCGATCGTACAAGCAACATCGCTACAACGATCGAACCGGAACGTTTCGCATCGAATATCTGGAAACGAACTGAGAATTCTAGCTTGTTTTCGAATTCTCGCGATCGAAGCCGTGGAACATGCGAGGATCGAGGAAGATAAAATCAACGCGTCGAATCGTTGTTCTTTGAAGCGAATTGAATCACGCGTTCCGAGAAACGAAAGAATTTTGAGAGAATTTCGAAACAATGAAGCCAGCGCGTCGCGAACGCAACTACTTTCGTCGCTACGCGTTAATATATGTAATTCCGCGCGTATTCACAAGTTTATCGATTCTGCGTACACACACGACAAAAAAACTCCACAGGTATCGTATTGAACTCAAAGACGTGTACGTACAACGATCGAATGCGTCTCGTTGAAGAAAAATTAAAACATATGAAACAATGAATACGCAAAAACAAGAACAAAAATAGCAGTTTCATCGATCAAGATTGCCCTATCGTCTACACCGAATTGGTCGCAGTCGCGATTTTCATCTTTCATTCCGTCTGCCGTCTCGCCGATATTGTTACGCGCCTGTCGCCGTTTCATTCTCGGCTCGATGAAGCCGGCCGCACACGTCATTTGGTAATATCTTCGACCAGTACAGTTGCGCGATCGAATGAATGCGCGCGTCTTCGCTGCACGATATCGGCCGCTCGGTCGTTGTCGCTCTACCGCCATCTTCTTTCTTCGCGACAAGACTTTCCAACGAGAGTATCGTCCACCTTGAGGCATCGAAATCCGGTGAAATCTCGCGCGAGTGCAAGCGCGAGCATTTCTTTAGGAGAGTGTGGAGTACTGTGGATTCATTGGTTTCTTAACCCTTCTTCTTCTTCCTCTTTTTTTTTTTACATTTTTTGTTAAATTCTTTTGTTATGTTGTTGTTGTCTTAGTAGTTGTTGTTGTTGTTGTTGTTATTGTTGTTGTTGTTGTTGCTGCTGCTGCTGCTGCACTGTTGTTGTTGCTTCGGTGTATAACGGGTGTTGGTGTTGCTTGTTAAAAGGAGTGGTTATATCGTGGTGGTACCGTTGCTGTTGGTTAAGCGGTGCTTTCGGTGGTAGTGTTCTGGACCGGTTGGCTCTCCTGCAAAAATGCAACGATCCGATCAAACGATTCGTCATTTTACTGGTACGACCGAGTTAGTAATGAACGTCACGCGTGGGATTTCGAGTCACCGCCCACGCGCTTAGCGTCAACAAGAAAGTCGCAATTACGACTGACCACGATCGTATGGCGAAATGAAAACCGTGCGAATAGAGGAAACGAGACGAAGTAGGAGAAAGCAATTAGTCGGACAGTGACGAGTGAACGAGGAGCATGCCGTGAAATCGTAGGAAATGTTCGTAGATAAGGAAATGAAGAACGTTACGCAATGGGAGGCGCTGGAACAACAAAGAAAAAATAAGCCACGTTACCTGTGGAGCAGGGGCAGCGGCAGGTGCATCCTTATCATTAGGTGCATCCAACTTCTGCTGCGACTGAAATGAGCACAAAAAGAGACGTGCAATAGTGTGTGCCAAGCGCTACGCCACATTACGAATGTTCGTCGGCGCATCGTATTCGATCTGTCGACGAACGAGACAAGTATTTACGAGTGGTTCGTGTTCGAGGAAAAGCCAGGTTTGGGTTAGGGGATGCAACGATCCGAAAACCTCGATCTTACTGATATTACCGATCTTAGGACAGTCGCGCATAGCGACGATCGATTGCTACAGTCACGTTACGCGATAAGAACTCCCGGTGGTTCTTTCGGAAGCTCCTTCTCCCTTTACATTCCGTCGGTATACGCGTCAACGTTCCAAGACTTATCGAAAAATGGGGAACAATGAACGATCGTCGCCATCGCTGCCACCACCGCCGCTACCTTGTTAAATAAGTCACAGGCTTCGGGAAAAGTCTTGGCGATTGGGACTCGTGGACGCGGAGAGACAGGAATGGGACTGATTTTGTTGGTCACGTATCGTTGATGGACTCTGTTAATTGCTTGCTGGCTTGTAGTTGGCCGTGGCTGCCTGACTACTCTCCGCTTGTACCGGGGTCGAGGTGCTCTCTGCCGATCATCAACCGATATCGAACCACCGCATTCCTCGTCGTCGATTACCTAAGTCGAAGTATTTTAGGATTCGGAGAAATCTAAGATAAACAGGAGAAGGAAACAGAAAAGGAAAGGGAAAGTGAAAGGGAAAGGGAAAGGGAAAGGGACAAAGTAAAAGGAAAAGGAAAGGGGGAGAGCAAAAAGAAAGGAAAGAAAGAACGATCGAGGAACAACGAAACGGTGTTCCGATCCTACGAGAAAGAGAAACAACATCGTGCTATCGTCGAGTAACGCGTATACAGTTTCGTCCCTCCTGGGAAAGCATCTCGAGAACAAGTGGACAAGGTAGAAGGAAACGCGCGAAGACAAAGAAAAAGCGGAAACCGTGCGATAGAACCGAAAAGACCGAAAGACAAAGCGCGAGTAACTAAAGAGAATGAAACGTTACAGACTTTTGGTTGTCCATCCTGGCTACGAGGCCGACGAGGTGGTCCACCGCCCCTTCCTCCGCGGAAATTTCGGCGATAGTAACGACGGGCAGGTCCACCGCGACCACGGCCACCGCCGCCGCGCGGTACACCCTCGCCTCCCGTACCCTCGCCGCCTTGTTCTCCGCCTTCACCGGAATTATCGGCCTGTTGCGCCGATGGCCCGGTCCGCCGAGATCCACGGTAGTAGCTGTCGTATTGGCGCCGGACTCTGTACCGCCGCTGTTGACCACCGCCCTCTCCGACGTTAGTTTCGTCCCCGGTCTTGCCCTCACCTGTTCAACCAAATACATTGGCTTACACATCTTGGATCACACATATGTACCTACAAATCGCTCACAAATCGATCTGTTATGCTCGCGTTTCGTTCTCTTTGCACGATACTACTGCGATGAATATTATTGTACGAACCGGCTTCGTAACCCTCCTGGCCCTCGCGAGGTCTGCGTTGAGTTCGAGTGTTCCCACGTCTCTGATTGGTGAACCAATGAACTCCACGATATCCGCGTCGCTTGTCGGCAGCGTAAGGCGATCCTTTTACCGCTTCCCCGGAAGGACCGGTAACATTGGCCGCTTCGTCACCTTTCTCGCCTATTACCACGTCGAATTCGACCACTTCTCCGTCACCGACGCTACGAACGGCCTTCCTTGGGTTGTTCTTCACGATAGCCGACTACGGAAACGGAAACAATTACGAGTGATGAAACAATTTTCAAATTTTCCAACTCTTCCTACCAACTACGAAACTACGGAACTACGAATGTACTCACTTGGTGGACGAACACATCTTCCCTGGTGTCATTCCTGAAACAGACAAGCGAGAAGATTAGCTATTAAATTTCCGCGCGAACCAAGCTCGCGAGTCACTGACTTGTCGCTGCGCTGTCTCTTTTTTTCGTCAAGAGACATTGTGCATCTCGGAACATGGATCGTTCGAACATCTCGAGACGATCCAATGGGTAGCCGGACGCGAACGTTTGTATACCACCTGATAAACCATCCGTCCGACTCGCGAATAATACCGCGAACAACGGTGCGAAAAAATGGTGGCGCGGCGCATTCAACTTTAATGATATCTGTTTTGAGAGCCAAAAAAATGAGAGAATTTCAAACGGTCGTGGTTCGATTTACAATTCAATCTGTCTCGTCGCGTCTGGTCTTGCCGTATTTCGCTGCATTTACATCAATGGCAATCATCGTACGGTTTGTCCCGATTCTCGTGCCGGGTATCCGTTAGAAACATCTGATAAATCTGCGACAAGTTTACGCGCGAAAGCAAAGTCGCTTCGAATCTCGGCGGCACTGCGAGGCCGAGAGAGGAGGGGTTAACGAGTCCCGCATCGAAAAGTTTGGCGAACAGCCAAACGCATAGATCGAGAAGTGGCTAGAAATAGCAGAGGATCGAGAATCGGAAAACGAAGTATCAGTAAAGTACCGTGCTTCTCGCCAGGACCTTCTATACTTTCCCAACAACAACAAGTCGAATTGATATTTGGTTTGATCCTGCGTCGAAAAATTTCTCCAAATGAACCCCGTCGCGAATCCATCTCGAATGTTGGAAGACAACTATTTATAATATGTATTGGCGCACTAGTAGAGAACAATAATAGATTGGCCCACGTTTACAGAAAAAATGATGTAATCACAACAGGTTCAACAATACACGTTACTATTCTTTTTGTAAACCAAAACCAACGTTCAATGCGTCTACGATTGAACGCGAGTCCATGTTGTTAACTGGTACGTATTTCTTCTCGAAAACGTTTCCCTTAAACAGAGGGATGGATATCAAATGCGATCGTCGGATGAGTTTCCCATCGACGTCCGAACGTGGTCTTCCATATCGATAAATCAAATTTTAGAGAATCTATCGCGATGCGCTTGAAGTCGTCGAAAGCCAACAACTCGGAAAAAGTGAAACTCTACTACGAGAAACGACAGTTATTACTAACCTGTTGATGAATCCGTATCCACTCTTCACGTTGAACCACTTCACAGTCCCGGTCACTTTGGTAGCTGAAACCCAGCAAAAGCGAAACGCTCTAATTAGGTATTTGCCGTGTAACGCAGCACCGCGCTGTACTGTACGATGGCCGCGATTAAGCCTCCCTTTTCAGAACACGGCCGTACCTCCCCCTATACTTGTTCCCTCGATTCGTTACCCTTTTGAACTTTATCGAAGTCGCTCTTGAAACAATTTCAACGGCAACGCGCAACGCCGCGGAAAAATATCCACCCAAACAAATAGAATATTCCATGAGAAGTATTTCGAGAAACCAAACGCTTCAGAGGTGTGGGGGAGTGGGGGAGCTTTCGAACCGCTTTTCTTCCTTGAAGTTCCAACGTTTCACCGGCGGTACCGTTCTATTTACCAATCGACCCAACCCCGATCGAGACCGCGTGATCAGTACCGCGAATGTTTACATCGTAGGAATTGAGAACGACATTCACAGGACAGTTAATACGTTAAAATTTTAAGGGTTGTGTTCATTAACGGTTTCACGATTCTCATTTTGGCAAACAGCTGCTCTTTCGAATAATCCTTTTCAATGTTTAATTCAATCGCAACAACCGACTCCGATTCTCCTTCCACAAGTGCAACAACAGTTCGAGAGACTGTATTCCTATAATGCAATTTTGTTCGTAGTTTCCGATGTTCCTTTAATGTTTTTCACGAATCATATACATATATCCAATGTCCGAAAATACAATAACAAAGCTCGAGAAGTAATAAGCACTGTACAGTACGTGGAGTCGATACGCTCCGAAAAAGAATCTTTGAAACGGTCCGGCTTTCAAAAATCATCCTCCAACTTACGTAACGAAACAGTGCTCGTTAATTACGAGAAATACTGTATAAAAAAACGTGAAGGCGAAATGTTCCGGGAGAAAATTCGCTGATACTTGATATTTTCATTTTGACTGGATTTCAGACGGAGAAAAAAACTAGTAGCATGCGTCGACGTGTTCCGGTTTGAAAAGCGTTTGTCGCATCGAATTTCCACAAGATTTCGATGAATTTTAGAGCAAATACGAACGGAGAGAGAAAAGATCGAGGGGGTCAAAGAAATAGAGATACTGATAAACATAGACACAAATAGATAGACAGACAGATAAAGAGAGAAAAAGACATAGAGGAGCGCGGCGGGGGGGGGGGGTAGGGAGGGAGGGAGGAAGAGAGAAACTCCATGCAAAAGAATGGACGGAGACGAGCGGATGTTGAAAAGGGAAATACATGGATTTGGATCGGAGTAATCACAGCGGTATACGAAAAACTATCGGTTTCACGTAAAACGAAATTACCCGGCGTATACACAGTGCACGACGTACACGCCGGCCGCATGCCACATGGTTGAATGTCTGCTGCTTGTAGACGCCATTATTGCACGCGGACGATACAGCAGAGACGAGTTCGCCGCTCTCTCTTTTGGCTAAAATTTTTCTCCGCAAAGATGCTCGGTCGCAATCTCTGAGATAAATAATGTGTTCACTCACCGATGACCAGCTTCTGCTGGACAGCCTTTGGTTGTTCGGGCTGTTTTTCCGGGTCAGCCATGGTGGTGGTGTTCAGGTGTTAAGACACGCCGCTGCCGAACCTAGATGTTCCCGTCTTTCTGGTCGTGGTGTTGGTTCCCTTCTAATGTTCCCAACATGGCTGCGCCTCCAGGCGACCGTGCAAACATCCTTCCTGTCTAACGAGCGTTCTGATAGGTCGACTCACGAACCAGCTTCCTCGTTCGACCAATCACGCGCGGAGTTTCACGGAACGCGCGTGACGCACTCACGCGCTATTTCCTTGCTTTCTCGCTTGCTCGTTTCCTCGATAGCGTGCGCGCCAGTGTCCGTTGCATTGGCAACGTGTGGCAACGTGACCGATAATAAGGGACTTTATCTTTATCTACTTTATCGTTGGGTATTGCTTCGCTTCGAATTACTGTATTGCTCTCTCATGCTTGTCAATCCGTACTTTCGCACTGGTGAACCGATTTATCTACTTACACAAATTTATTGCAATCGTTGAGAGGGTAGTTTTTCTGACTTTGTTTTTCGCGGTGTACAACGTTGTTCAAGCGATGCTCTAATATGCCTGTGTAGCTCGATGGTCGCGCGCGCGGTGGAAATATAATGCACCTATCCGGCCGCGCCAAAACAATTCGCGGGAACAGGCATGTACTTGTACATATACATACTTACTTGTGCTTGTGTCCGTTAAACATTTCACATGCATACTTATTAATCATTTACCACGATCGATGCTTTTAAACACTTTTAAAGCGCTCACGCGATGGACCACGATGTATATTAAATTTTCAAATGTGATGACTGTTAAGTGAAACGACTTTAAATAAATATATTTGCATCGATGAGTGTATAAATGCAACGCGAGAATACGACTTCCTCTTTCACGAAATATACCAAAAACACCGTAGATCTACAACGAATTTCTTCGAAAGTACGCACGAATTCGACGTTAATACCATAAAACAATACCGGTGCATATTTTTACCGAACACTTTGAACGCGTGAGATGAAACACCCGCGAGATCTTCAGCATACATATATACTTATGTCTCTATTCTTCACTCCAATTAAGGATAGAACCAAATTACAAGAAAACCACGTGACTTTTACAGGAGCGTACCACGGCATTGCAGTATTCATTGAAAAAGATAAACTATTCGGTCTAGCTTAAAATCAGCTTTTTACAAACTACAATTGATTACATATTGTACTATAAATTAATAAAAGAAAGAAATTCGGTGAAATTTTTTGCCAGTTGAAGGTAAAGAAATTTAGTACGGCCTTTTGACTTATTGCATATATGCTCCTGTCTGACGCTAAATGTACTTATTTACAATTAGCAATACCTTCCAGTCCATCGCGTGACAAGACGTTGTGTTGTTATGGTTTGATCCATGCCTAATTGGAATGAATATATACATATATGTATATGTACCATCAGTCATCACGAGCAAACTCTGTTTCCGCTAGAGGAAAAAACAGCGTAGAAGAGGCTCCTACTACTTGATAAATTTATTTTAAGTAGTGAAATACATAAATGTTAAATAGAATGTTATTTTGACATAAATTTCAGTAACTCGCGAGACCAAGTGGTACGAGGACCTTCCTCTATGTCACTTTTTCCTTTAATGAAAGTCGAGTTTGCTCGTGGGGGTATGTTGTAAGGTTCAAAAGTTACCGGCCTAAATCTGATTTACTCCATGAAAGTAAATGTATTTTAAGAAATCTACGTAAGTAATGAATAACAATATTATGTAAGTCATAAGTAATGAAAAATAGGAATAGTACTTTTAATTTTTCTCAAACGAATCAATATTCATACGAAAATCTTCCGACCTTACTATGCTACGCACCTATGTACATACATATAGGTATACATACGTGCTGGGCAAGAACGATAATATCGAGAATCGCACGCATCGCTTTGCAAAAAAAAGTAGTTTATAAGGTCGAAGTCAAGTGGACAAAGTTTGTTGCACAAGAAAGGATTCCAAGAATAAATACTACAAGCATAAGGTGAAACTCGAAAAGTGTCGGCGTTCGTATTTACGACGTTTTTTTAAATTGTACATTTCGTGAATACAGCGCATTTTCCTGTCAGTTCTTTTTTCCTGTTGGAATGAGTGAAGCAGAGTTTAAAACAGTGATAGATAAAAATCTGCTTTAACGTTTTCCTATGTACAAAGTGAATACAATTAACAATGACGGTAGATGTATTTTAAAACGATAACTAGTCATTGGTTGAATAAGTGGTTCGTTTTGAAACTGAAACAGTATCGACGCGTCGTTTCTTATCGATGTAATTCCGTGGTATTGGAATTGACGAAACCACGAGCGGATTCTTGATCGTAACGTAGCTGAGAAATCGAGTGCCGTCTCGATGAATAGATTTACATTCTCAATCATCTCGGTTTCCTCGTTCGAACGTTTCTCGATCTAGGCGCGGTGGATCCACTCCCAATGCTGAACATGCCGGGCGTCGACGCGTTGAACGTCGGTGCACTAGTTGTCCCGAAATTGATGGTTGGCGTCGTCGGTGGTGCGGAAAAATTGAATCCTGCAGCTATTTTGAAAGAAACGAAACATTAGTCACGTAACGACAATTGGATAAAGAAAAAAAAAATAGAGAAAAACTGGAGATAATGTAGATGGTAACCTGGCTTTGAAGTGGTTGCATTGAATTGAAAAGTTGTAGACGCCGGTGCGGCGGTGTGGCTGTTCGATGCGTTGTTGTTACCGCTAAAGGGGAGGGTGGTCACTTGCTGGACTGGCTTTTGGTTTGCGCCAAAGGTGAATATACCGGTGTTGTTGTTGTTGTTGTTGTTGTTCCCGGTATTTACGTTTCCGGATCCAAATGCGGTTGTAGACACATTCGATGCGTTAAACGGTGTGACTTGACCAAACGGCAATGATGCTTTGTTGTCGCCGAACGCGGGAGTGGGAGCAAGAACCGGGCCGGAAGTGTTGACCGATGCAACAAACGCCGCATTCGTCACGCTCTGTCCCGTAAAACTGTTTGAGGTAGACGGATTGAAGACCCCTCCGTTAGTAGTCCCGAACACGGAAGTTGCGGGCGCGGACTCTGTGCCAAACGCGGTAGCCCTGTTGCCGAAAGTTTGTGACGCTGCTATAGAGCCGATCGTAGAACCGAATATTGGCGTAACAGCGTTGCTCGAAGTACTCGTGGTGCCGAACGTGCCGATTGTTGTCGATTGCGGTCCGAACAATGGAGTGACGTTACTGCCAAACGTGCCTGTTGTATTTTTAAAATTCCCAGGCTGAAACTGAGCTAGGCCAAAGATATTTTCCGTTGTTCTAAACGTGGTTGCCGTGTTCGCACTAGAGAATAAATTACTGCTTGTTCCAGTTCCAGTTCCAGTTCCAGTTCCAGTTCCAGTTCCAGTTCCAGTTCCGGTTCCTCCTGAAGCGGATTTGTTCGCGATGGAGCCAAATATAGAAGGGGAACTCGTACATGTTACTCCCGACGAAGGCGTAGTCGAAGTATTTGAAAAAATAGACGTAGAACTGGCGGAAGTTGTGATAGCGCTTGTACTAAAAAGGGCTGGAGCGGACGTACTCGGAGCGACAAAGATACCCCCGCTACCAGTTGTAGGTAAAGTCAAAGGAGTACCAAATACTGGCCGACTGTTTGTCGTTCCGAACACTGACCCTGTCAATGTAGTTACCGCGTTCCCGAATATCGAGGTAACACTCGGACTGAACTGTGCACTGCTGCTGCTGCTGCTGCAGCTGCTGATGCCGCTGCCACTACAACTGGTTAACGAACTTCCAAACGTTCCGTCCGTGTTTGTGCTCGTGTTGCCGGAACCGCCGAATACAATTGGGTTCGATGTTCGTGTTAACACGTTGGTGTTCGCGGTGGTGGCCACTGTGCCACCAAAAGTAAAACCATGTTTATTCTGCGATGTAGTCGAAGTAACTGCGCCAAATGAAAAGGTCGAAGTGACAGTCGAGCCAAATGGGGGCACAGTGGTTTTTGCGACTGATTCGAATCCGATGGTGGGTAAGGTATTCGATGAAGAGCCAGACTGCAAAGATGCTTGGTTCGTACCCGACGTCGGAGCCAGTTGAGAGTTCGATACATCTCCAACCTTAACGTTGCTTTGCGGGGTGGTTTCTCTAGAGCCAAACAAGTAACCGGTTTCAGGTTTCATAGGCGGTACGATGATGTTTTTATTTCCGAACGTAAACAACGATATCGGTGCCGTGCTGGTCGTAACTATCGAAGATCCCGTTGTTGCAGACGCACTCGCTGCTAGTATATTTTGCCCTTTTCTTTCTACGGTATTGGTGGTCGGTACAGTTGAAATCACGGCAGTCGGAATCGCCGAAGTGAAAGTCGCGTTCTTGCTTCCGTGCGCCGTATTCGAAACCGACGAAACTTTTCCCACCGCTTGCGAATCACATATCCGACTATTCGTGTTGGTTTTTGATTCAACAGGGGCTGGTGTGATCACTGGAACGGCTGAAGGCTTGAACGTTGCGCCAGAAATGTTCCCGAATGTATTTGGCGAGGACATCGTGGAAGCGGAAATCAAAGGAGCTGTGGATGTAGAAACTTGATGATTTGAAGGAACATTGCCAAATGTAAATGTCCCGGGTGACGAAATAATTGTCGTCCTAACGACAGTTGTCCTGGAAAGCTCGAAATTCTGAACGGTTGAATTCGAACTCGTCGCCTGTACGCTCACAGAGGGTGAAAGAATCGGATTTCCGGACGTGACCGTAAACGTAGTTCCGGATGTCCCATCGGACACCGCGTTCGGTTCAGAAACTGTAACGTTTTCGATTTTTGTTCCGGAAACGTTGGCACTTGAAACGCTGGAATTCGACGAGGTTTCTTTGGTCGGTAGATTGAAAGCTACGTGCTTCGGAGACTTAGTCCCTGGGCTAGGTGCGACGGCCGATGTAGAAATAGGCGTGGTATTTACATTCGTTGTGGTTGTCGAAGAATTAAGAGTGGCACAGGTCACCGGACACGGGACGGACTTGACTGAGTTTACTTCTTCCGCTTGAATCACCACGTCCGGATTGATTTTACTAGTTGCTAAAAACACAAACAAATCACTGTTGTTAAATCACAAACTGTCGAATATGGATGCGTCGTCGAGAAACGCGACGGGGAACCCACTTACCTTTACCGGATATGGCGTCGAACATGCTTTGAAGCCTCGCCTTCATGCTGGTTTGCCTCATATCCGCTATGTCCTCCTTCTTTATCTCTTCTACATCGTCCGTAGTGAACTTCGCTCTAATATTACCTTGCTCTTCGACCAACATTCTTAATTTTTCGTTTCTTTCCGGTTCTGCTCTCATAAATAGTTTGTTGGTCAATTTTGACGATTCAACCGAGACAACAGACTCCGTGTCTCTAGTTTCTTCGTTATACCAATTTCTATGCTCCGCACTACATTCTCGATCGTGTGAGTCCGCCTCCAGTGTTTTCGCGTTCGTTTTTAAAATTCCTTTTAGCGGTGACGATTTCTCCTGTCTTTTATCCAGAGAATTTCCTACATTTGAGCTTTCCTTTTCCGTCGTTTCACGGACACAATACTTTACATTTGTATTTTCTGTTTCCGGTAACGCTTGCACGCTGGAACTCGGCACAGATTCCAATGACTTGAAATGTTTCTCAAAATCTGGCGTACCGCTACGCGAAAGATCTCCTAATACAACAAAATACACGATGCAACATTATTTAATAAGAAAACTGCTTCGAAAAATAACGAGATAAACGTTGAAAAGTTTAATTAACTTTGTACTTACTAGCTTTCCTTTTGATGCCGGAAGCTACGTGCTTGCTGGAACTGAACGAGTTTAAAATGTCGTAACAGGAAGGTGTCTTGGTTCGCTTAGCGGGTCTGGCGGTTTTATTTTGTGGTGAAGTATCTTCTTCCGATTTCGAGGACTCCTCTCTGCTCCTTTTTTGCTTCGTTTCATCCTGCATCTCGAATTCGTTTATCGGAATACCGCTTATCCGTTGCTTCTTCGCCAAGTCGGAAGTAACGTCCTCTCTCGATGCGTGTCTCTTCAACGATACCTCCCTGAGAGCCTGAGGAACGCTACCCGAAACAAGGCTATCGTCCGTACCGCACAGGTTCGACAATATTTTCTGCTTTCCCGGTGGAGAATATCGAACCGCGTCTGGCGGAGCCACTCTGACGATCACCGGTGTTCTTTGTTTTACGCATTTCGCGTTTATTAATGGAACTGGATTACCCTGAAGGTTTACTTTTGGAAACTGCCCAACACGATACTGAGATTGATGAGTCAATCTGTTGTTAGCTTCTGCTGCGTACTTTGTTAATCGAGTTGTAAGTCCAGGAGAAGTTACATCATTGTAAACTCTGTAAACAAATAGAAAACATGTATACGTGTATTATAGAAAATATATCAAGTTATACTAGACAGGATATCCACAAAGTTCCTATCTATTTTACAGAAATGATTAAAAAAAGAACAAAACTCCAAGGGGATGTTCAGTGTACAACTCAAACAATTTTTTTCACTAATCACCATAAACAGGCACAAGAAGTCACCTAATCGGTTTCCACATGGGCATCATCAATATTTCTGCATATATCAATTTGGCCAGCTGTTTTGCAATAAAACATTTTTCAATATCCATAAATTGATCTGTGCCTCTGCTTGTAAGACGCAATGTCTCAATAGTTGCAAATTCTCAATTTTTTCTGGTAATATACGCTTCTTGGTGTACACTCGTGAGATTTAAAGTCCAATAAAGCCTTGAGCAAAAATTCAAATCTTTTTCGTGGAATTAATGAAAGGAATTAAAGTTTAAGTTGTACATCAAAATTTTTTTTTTTAACTATATCCCCGTGAAGTTTTGTTCGTTTCTCAACAATGTCTATAAAACATATAGGAACTTATGAATACCTTGTATAAACCAAATGCAATATAATACTGAAACAAGACTCACCTTGGATCGATATTGTACCTGGATGATGTAGATAAAGGTCCACCCATCAGAGGGGAAGATTTTGAAGTGTTTGTTTTTGGATGTGCTCTTGGGCTAATGATAGTACCCCACGATGATGCTTCCGGAGCAAAGTATGATGTGTCTTCCCTTTGTGTTGAACTATGATGATGCAAACACTCAGGAGGTGTACTCCTGGATGGACTTTGATCAGTTGATACGGATCGAACTCCCTCGTTTTCATATTCTTCTTTATTTCGTGGAAACATTGGTGTAGATGTATGTTTAGTAAAGGGACTGTGCGCATACAAAATATGGTTAGAATTGTGACAAAGCTTTTTCTCGGACGTGAAGTCGTTGACATTTAATGTTTGAGCATTGTTCAGTATTGGACTGAGCTGTGCTATCAAGTCGAATTTCGACGAGTTTCTTCTGGTCGGACATGGATCGGTGCTAAGTTGGTAATGCGTTCCACGACGTCTTTCCATCCTGGTCTGTGTTGGGTACAGCTCCAGAAAACGATGACTTACACTCTCCCGGAACATACGAGAGCACCGATATACGTAGTCGACGATACTCTCGAAGCTTGTACGAACTTCAAGAAAGACGCGCACGCAATAATCGAAAAGAAAGAACGCGTGCGGCGACAATAAGCTGTTGTTGGTGATCAAAGAATAGCACGCGTAAATAGTGAGAAGAAGCAGAATTGTTAGAATCAGGATCGGTCCCCAAACGTTGTACAGGAACACACATCCACTCAGCACACTTACTAACGCAACGACACTCCGATTTCCTAAATCCCACATATTATTTCAAACAAATAACCTCTCCATGTTTGAAAAGAGCACACTCACCGAATCACCGGAACCTTGCTGCTTTAAGTGTAACGACATTATCGACGTAGTAACTACTACGTAATACAATACTAAATTGTATCGTCTTTCGAATTAAGTGCGTTTCTCCGAACTTACGTGAACTTACGCTCGAAATGTACCGACGTAGATTCACACTTTATTAATGATTAAACGACAAATCGGACACATTCCCGCGAAAATCTTTACAAACACTAACCGCACTTAACCTTCTGTTGCTATGAAACAATATTGAATAGCATTCTCGCGTTTACGGTCGCATACGGTCGTCTCAAATTTAGACCGTTTGAAGCGCCACCGTTCCTTTCGTATACACTACAGTATACTACTGTATACCATCAATATATACATATAGATTTAACATTTAACTGGATTTAACGCAATTTAACGTTTCAAACATTTTGCCGTTATATCTTTTTTTTAAATTTGAGTACCCGTTAACTCGACGGAACTCTTGTTGCTAGCAATTCACGACAACACAAGTATAAATATATGCAGTGTATATCGTTTTATCGATTAATTACAAGGTAATTATTCAGTATGAGCACTGCTGATCACGAATAAAAATTCGAACAACTGAAATACATATTTCGTTATTTACTTTCATATATTTGTCCAAGTTTATTGATCAGCGGGAAATACTGCACGTATTAACGATCGAGAATAATGTTTACGTTTCTGACAATATTCTATCCCTCTGTTCCACTTATTGTTGCACGGTATCGGTATACCAATAGAATTATGTATAGCTCAAATCAGAAGGAAATTGTTTCGAGAAATTCACCGCGCATAAGTTCGTTTTGTTATTCATAGGAGGATGCAAGTAGCCTGGTCTTGGTCCGGTCCGGAATCCACTCGTTTCAGTTTTCACATGATTTTCATGTTGCCGATACACGTGAGAGTTCCTCAGAGTTCCTCGTGGTGGGCAGTGGTGGGTAACTAGCGTAACTAGCAGTGTAAAAGGGAAAAGACACGCGTTCTGACCATCGGTAACATCGTTTAAGAACGAGAATAAATTATGTCGTGGCTTTTTGGATACCGTAACGCTCAACCTCAAGACTTTTCGCAATTTGTACAAGTGCCGGCATCGGGTAATACTGCTGGTGATGGCGATGGCTCCCGTCCATCAATTACAAAGTCTCAAATGGAAGCTTACCGTTTCGATTCGAGTGCTTTGGAAAGAGCGGCTGCAGCTGCTAAAGAACTCGAGAGATCCAGTACGTTCTGTTGATTTATTCATTAATTTTCTGTTTGATAAGATTAATGGTTAAGGTTACGTAAGTGAAAAATGATTTTCTGGGTTATGTACCTCGTGTTCTTTCAATGACACGATGCCTCGGTTTCTTAATTCGAATTGTTTTACGGTACATCAGTTCATTGTAAATCACAATTCTGACAAATACTGAGGTCGCAAATAAAAAGCGAAGGAAACCGTAAAACAGAGAATGCTGCACTTTTCGCGACTGTTCGACCATTTTTCTGCTTCTCTCTCTCCTTAAGTCGTGAACAGACCAATTTGATTTTCATAACTAAATGGGAAATTGCTTTATCGTTTGAAACTTAGGCAACTGGAATTATAATATGTATTCTTGTTGTTGTTACTAAGAAAAGTCTTACGATTACTTTATCTCTTTAGATCATGCCAGAGAAGCTTTAGAACTCTCCAAACTGCAAGAAACAACAAGACAGGTTGAAATGCAAACAGAATTAAAAAAATATGAGGCTAGCATAGAGCAAATGAAAGTAGATCAGAAACGCATCGATGGAGAGGAGAGAAGAAAAACTTTACAAGAGGAAACCAAGCAACACCAGATGAGAGCTCAGTATCAGGATCAGCTTGCAAGAAAACGATACGACGATCAATTAACACAACAACAAAGAATGAATGATGAAAATCTGAGGAGGCAAGAGGAATCTGTGGCAAAACAAGAAGCAATGAGAAAAGCTACTATAGAGCACGAGATGGATTTGAGACACAAAAATGAAATGAGAAAGTTGGAAGCAGAATTGAAAGCCAAAGCAAAAATTGACAGAGAAAATCAAGACTTGAATTTAGAGACGATTAGGTTGAAGGCATCAGAAAAGAGAATCACGGTTCTGGAGTCTATAAAGTAAGTAAAATGATTGCCAATAATATTGAAGCGGTCCGAGGCATTAAAATGTGTGGATCAAATGTTTCAGAACCGCAGGTTCGGTACTAGGCTCTGGAGCCACGGCTCTTCTGCAAGATTGGGATAAAATTATCGCTGTTGCCGGTGGGTTGTCTCTTCTAGCATTTGGTGTGTACACAGCAAAAGGTACAACAGGCGTAGCAGCGAAATATATCGAATCCCGTTTAGGCAAACCATCCTTGGTTCGAGAAACTTCCAGATTTACAGTACTGGATACATTAAAACATCCTGCCCAAGCAATCAAGAAATTGCAGACCAAGCAGACCGACGCATTGTCCGGCGTCGTTTTAGCACCAAAACTCGAGGAAAGGTTACGCGATATCGCGATAGCTACAAAAAACACAAAACAAAATCGTGGAATGTATAGAAATATACTGATGCACGGTCCTCCCGGAACCGGTAAAACTATGTTTGCCAAGAAATTGGCTGTGCACTCCGGTATGGATTATGCAATCGTAACTGGTGGAGACCTGGCACCATTGGGTAGAGACGGCGTTACTGCGATTCACAAAGTTTTCGATTGGGCAGTAACGTCCAGAAAAGGTCTGCTGCTTTTTATCGACGAGGCGGACGCGTTCTTAAGGAAACGTTCCAGCGAGCACATTTCAGAGGATCTCAGAGCAATGTTAAATGCTTTTCTGTACAGGACGGGTGAGCAGAGTAACAAATTCATGTTGGTTCTTGCCTCAAATACCCCGGAACAATTTGATTGGGCTGTCAACGACAGATTAGACGAAATGGTAGAGTTTCGTCTCCCAGGGCGGGCGGAACGCGAACGTTTAGTTCGACTTTACTTCGATAAATTTGTTCTTCAACCGGCGATCGAAGGCAATAAGAGATTGAAAATAGCGCAATTCGATTACAGTGCGCTTTGTAGTAAAATGGCAGAGATGACCGAAGGAATGTCCGGAAGAGAATTAGCAAAACTGGGCGTTGCGTGGCAGGCGGCAGCGTACGCTTCGGAGGATGGAGTGCTCACAGAACAAATGGTTGTAGACAGGTGTAGCGAAGCCATCAAACAACACAAACAAAAGGTGCTCTATTCTATTGGATAACGATGCGACAGCCGGTTCACAGTTTACAACATACGTGTTGGACTGACTTAGTGAAACTGTTTTTTTTTTTTTTCATTTCACAGGTCCAATGGCAAAGCGAACAAGAAAGACAAGAAGCAAAATCAATTTATGCAACGGAGAAGGAAGTAGTACAGCCAACGAAATCGAAAGCTATTGAATCCCCAGCAGAAGCTTCAGTCGCAACGGCCTAATCGACAAGAGTAGCCGCGTAAACACTTACAAACCATATTTTACTTTTAAATAAAAACAATTAGTAATAAGTGGAAATGAAAAAGGTACAAATGACGTTGTCAAGAAGACGAATTTAATTGTACAGTTCTCGTTTTCAAAGCGAAACGCCCGTGTATAAATACTGTAAAGTAATAGTGCATTTGTTAGAAATGAGAATTTCTAGCCTGATTAAACTTTAAATTAAATCTTTTTCTCTTCTTCCATATATGCATGCACATACGAGTATATTCGGTTGTAATCTGAAAGAAAAAGAAGGTAACATACGGAGTTGGTGACAGAATTGTTTTTCAACGGAAAACAAAACACCGTTATGTTTATTGTGTAGTCCCGTTCATCGTCGTGTTTAACTGCTGGTAAGTTGTAACGTGGCAAATTATGTGTCTTTTAATAATCCCATGAACAGCGATCCCTAGGTTGCACACATAGTTAGTTGTAGGAAAAAGCATACGAGCGATGTATAACGGGTTATAAATCAGAATCGAAAAATAACTTCTGATTACTAAATATTTCTTGGTCATGAATAATTTTCCTTTACAATTTTCATTCCGAAATAGTCGTACGTGCGCGAATATCGCAGTAATTCTGCAACCACATTTCAAAGACTTCTTATTGTATTGTCGAATGGTTTAATAAACATACAATTTTTGTTACTGTTATTTATTAAACTCTGATTTCATTACTTGGTTGTTAGAAGAAATACAAAAAGAAACTACTACGTACGTAAGTATTCATGTATTTATAATCAACAGTGCTAAAGTTTTTATTTTTACACAGTGTTACAATATAATTACTTTTTTGTATCCTGATTAGTATGATTTATTACGTAAAAAATAAAAGTCTGCTTTATTATCAATGATCATTGTTTTAGGTGAAATCACAAGTAATAGTAAAATACGTACTTAAATGTTTCATAGAAGCCCACAATACATATCGTCACTTATACGTGCCCACGTAACGAAAAATCGATTACTAGTAAGATATGTTTATGGTCAGTCGAATAAGTAGGTACAACTATTTTTAGATTCTAAACGGACAACACGATAAGTTTTTACGCATAAGTATGACTGTTGTTCGAACCTAAGCAGTACAATTATGTAAATAATACCGCGTGAACAATGAAAGGCGCAACGTACTTAGGATGTAGTTGAACAACTTGAAACAACTTCGCCCGGCACAATTATGTATGTGATCGACAAAATCAGATGTCCTTTAACTCAGGGAAAAAGACTGAAAAGTACCCTAAAATCAGTCTTTCAATGAGAAGGCACTCTGCAAAGGCACAATAGTGCATACATTCCAGTTTCACTTTGGTTTTTATTACTAGTTCCTTGTCGTAGCTTCTACAGAAAAATGTCCTCCGCAGAGGACATATTATCAATCCCTAACGCGGAGTCCCCAAATACTAGTTCTCCGAACACCGACCGTTGGTCTCGCAACAGAACTATATAGGAACTTGTTCAGCTGAGTTTCACCACAGGTAACTTGTAAAGTTTTCAGTATTGGTTCCGACATTAAACCAAAAATATCCAAGTACAACAAAGACGGCATGTATGCTAAAGTTAAGTACGTCGACGGAGGTATACCATAGCAACGACTTAACGATAAATGTTCTATTTTCGTTAAGTCTAATAAGTTTCGTACAGTATTCATTGTAAGCATTGTGCAATCGCTTAAATCTAATTCCACCATATCCGGACAACTGTTTACTAAATCCTTCACATCTGAAATAAATAATCAAGTATAAAACTCACTGAGAACCAGTTTGTGTGTGTGTGTGTGTGTGTGTGTGTGTGTGTGTGTGTTTATAAAATTCTACTTACTGTCGTCCGTCATTGTTTTTCTGCATCCACCTATATTTAAACGCGTAACGGACGGAGGTAGAGATTTACACAGTAATGTCATAGATTCTGTATCTAAACTGCACCAAGACATATTAACAGCATTCAAACTGAAAACATCAATAACACGGCATAAGTATACTGAAATTAATTGGTAAACTGGTAATAAACTGGTAATCTTACTTTTTAAGTTTCATTAAATCCCTGAGACATTCGACATCCATACCGTCGCACATTGTTAAATTCAAAATTTCTAGATCACTATTTTCACTGATAGCTTTGCAACACGATCTACTGACTATACATTTTTCTAACGACAATTTTTTCAGGTATTTACACTTAGACAGTAGCATAGCCAATCCATCCGGAGACAAGACTGCCATCGAAAGATCTAAGTATTGTAATTTGCTAACATATCCATCGGTAAAAACTTCGCTGTTTTCAAGGAACACTGGATCTGCGATTTCCGCTTGAGCGAGTCGAAGTATTTGAACGCCGCGTGGTAATATATGTCCTAATGTACCTTCGCTCAGTACTTTGCCACCTAAATCCAGTCTACTCCACAATGCTTCATCCCGAGCTATTTGGCACCATCGTTTACAAACCAACATAGAGCGTACCTACACAATTAAATATCATGATATATTATTGTACCATGATATCTACGAAGTGTATTTTAATTAAGCTTGTTCAAGAAATCGTACCAAACACTTCTTAGGAAGCCACTTCAATATCATTAGAATCATTTCATCTGATAATTTGTTAAATTTGTCCTCGCCAACAACCGAAGATTTTCTTTTTCTTCTAGAGAGATAGAACTGTTCAAGGCTACTTCTTTCGGAAGACGCATTTAAACTGCTTTTACAAAAACTTTCTTTTGTATCTATGAAATTATCTATTTCCATCTTAGAAGAATAGCCAGATTCATTTCCCGTCGTAGAATAAGCGGCTGGTTCGTCTAACTCGTACGAATTCTGCTCCAGTCTGTAGACATATTTAAGAATTATATAAAAATGTACCATGCAATGTAGTTAAACCTAAATAGAAAAAATGCTAAGAGTTACAGACCTATCTATACCAACAGCTTTAAAAGTGGAACCTCTGTAAATATTTTTTTCAAAGCTATTAACCTTCTCGCAATGTCTATCATTATGAGAGTTAGGAGGTGAAAGAGGATGCCTCAGAGACTGCGATTTTCTAGTACTTTCGCATGACGTTTCATCTTCTAACATGCTAACTCCCATATCTTCCAAGATTTCTGGTTCCACATGAGTCCCATCACCTGAGCACAACCATTTTTCGTTGCTCTTGGGCTCGCTGCTCCGGGTAGTATTTAAATTGTTATTACAACTGTCGTCCAAGCGTAACCTCTTACTATAACATACATTGCAATAATAGAGATTAGGTATGGATACTGTTTTAAAAATATACAAGCAACTTTGTACTATCAAGTATCGAAAACAACCTGTTCCACCAAGGTGACGAAGAAGATTCTTCCGACATGGTATTGCCAAAGTTTATGCGTAAACAAGTGAAATTTGCCTTGTGTAAGTGTGTAAAATTGGTATTCAAACGATTTTTAAGCGTGTGCAACTCCAAGACAGTTAGAGTTACACAATGAGTTAAATTGGAAACAGTTTTACATTTATGTAGCATAGGTTGTTACTGCTGTGCAAAGAATACAGTTAAAAGTGAAACACAGAGCATTTTCTGTTTCCAATAAAAATTAAATTTGCTTGTGATGAAAAAAGCATTGTACGGTTTTAATTACTAGTGAGAATTGGTTTTCAAAAATGTCCTTGTATGTAGCAGTCTGAAAATAAAATGAATAATTTTATATTCATTGTTTACACGATAATATGCGGTGGACAATAAATAGTCCCCCACAGTGAAAATCATACAGTATGCATTGAAAGGAATGTTGGTTTAGTTTAGTTACAAGAAAAAGATTAATACATTTTCCAATTCCACTGTAATACATTTTCATGACTTACATATATAAAATCAGAAACTAAAAATTATTTGTAATTACAAAAAAGTAACTACATTTTACTTACAAGGAAGACAATTCACATAAAAATAATTTAAATAGGAAGTAAAAAACTATAGTAAATTGCGAACTTGTGATTCATCATAACCGATCCATTGCAAACAGTTATAGACATGAAAGGATATCCTACAAAGCATTAAAACTAATTTTGTTCATAATGTTCATACGTTACTGTATAATGATACTTTATTGCATATCTTATACAATGTTGAACGTAAGATCAATTTACTTTATATTGTAGTTGTAGTTACTGGCTTCTAATAAAAAATAATTTTCACTTTCTACTTCACAGTACAAATCATGAAACTATATTAAACTAGAGAGTGATAAATTTCCATCAAAATCCTTACCCTGTTACTAGACTAAGCGAAAAGTTCTATCCACGCACACTGTAGTATTTTCACTGTGATTGACCGTAAATATTGACGACATATAGTAAATAATATGGGTATAGGGTACGTCTTATAAACTTTTAACTAGGGCAACAAGGAAGTAAACCACGAGGATATGTAGCGATAAGTTTACCTCTTCAAACAAAACCGTCGGACTAATACTAAAAGAAAATGTTTCCGAGCACCTCGACGTTGAACTGTTAAACAGAAGGAACAAATCGTTATTTTTCCAGGTTCGAAGCAGAGCATCGGAGAATTTAATTCGTACAATCGTTTGGTTTCGTTGGGAAATTCGAAATCGATTAATTTCGTGGGTTTTCGAGTAATAAGAGAAACAGATAAACGACAATCGATGGAACAAAAACTAGACGACACAACACTGGCGAAGGTTCTTAACCTTACCTGTGCGCGCGAGAATATGCACCTGCATCGGGATGTGCAACAGGCAGCAACAGGTAACAGACTCGTACACGGCAATTACCAAAACTCGGAAGATTCCTCTACAAGAGGGGGACACAGGATAAATAAATTTACCTTTCGGGTGGTGAAAATTCTTCGGACTTCTCCAGGCTATCCACGCCGATCCTCGTGCGCTCCAACACGCCGAAATTCATTTTTGGCGGAATGCCGCTGTGATGCTCTTTTTTTAATCGTCACTGGTCATAACCTCAGAAAACAATCGCCACTGGTGGCTTCCAATGGCTCGAACCGCTCACTACGATTCGATGTTCTTTTAGTCTTGCTTCCGATTGGCCGGTTTCTTGAGGATTTCGAGATGGCGGGAAACCGAGAGATCGATCGCGTTTCGTTGATCACCGCGCCACTCACTCTAGGTATACAATAGAGATGGCGTGCAAAATCACTAACGGTGATTTATCACAGTGATCGCTGAATCACGATCACGGTCGTGATTTAACTTCATTTACGACCGTGATTGCGATTTTTTTATCTTGAGTGAATTTCCTTACTGCAATCGTAAGTCCTTGATTTTTAAACAGAAAAACGTATTCAATATGATTTCACGATGAATTACATTACTATTCGTGTTTGTAATAATTAAGTAGGAATAACGAGAAATTCTAAAAGAATGATTTGCTAGGTAACATGTAGATTATAATTTATAATCATTAATTTATTCATTATTCTTCATTGTTTCTAATTATTCCTTCACTTTATACGATATAACTCAAATTTTTGTTTTGATGTCGTTAATATAAAATATACAGATTATGTATCAGGATTAAAGAACTGTTAGATTTGTCCACCAATCAGAAACGACACGAGAAATCACGAATCACTGTGAAAAATCACCATGATTGGGAACGAACGTGATCGAATCATGAGTGATTCACAAGTAACAGTTCACGCCATCTCTAGTATACAAATCCGATCCAATCCGATTCACGTCCAGTTTGGTCCGATTTAAATTGATTCGCTCCTATACTTTTCGTTAAAATCATCTTTTAAACAGACTCACCGAAAATTTCGATATCGGGGTAATCGAAATGAAATCAAAAACGGAACTTGGAAAATTCGTGTTGGTTTTTAGTTTTATTGAGATGTACTACTGTTTTTAACACGTTCGTCGTAGTTTTTCGTTTTTATTTTTTCCGATGTTTATTACGCGAGTACTTGCACACTTTAATTTAATGTTTCGGATCTCCAAGTCTTCGATCCTCGGCGTACACCTTCATCTGAAAATTCACCAAGTCCGAAGTTTTTTTGTGAAAGTTGAATCGAGATTGGTTTGGTTGTATCCCCTGTTCGTACCACCATCCATACCTGTGCACAAAAAAAAAAAAAAGAAAAATCCGTTTCGCCTATTCGAACGTTAGATATACACTGTCTCCACATTGTATGCGGTGAAAGTATGGCGATAATGTGGGTTTCGTTTATACAAGACGCGAGATCAAGGTATATATAGATATATGGAATTTAGATTACGCATGACTGGTCAGCAGTCGGCAATGATAAGCATCCTTGGGGCTTCTTCTTTTCCGACTCGTGATTTCTTCGAGCACGTCGCATGTATTTGGATCGTTTGCGTCCCCGTATTCTCTTGAATAGAATTTTGGGGCGACCGAGTCACCTGTGACGTGATGGAAAAAACGATTCTCTCAATTTACGTTTAACAATGGAGAACACACGGAACAATGAAGCAACCGTACCGTTGATTGTAGAAGTACGAACGCTCGATTTCCCGGGCAGCTGATCCTTAGAAAAACAAAGCTTAAACGGTGGTTTTTCTGGTACTCTGTTGGTCGTTGGTGAATTTGAATCACGTGAACTGGTTCGGTCCATAGGGTATCCAGCCGAAACTGTCGAAATTAGTCGAGTTGATACGCACTCCAAAAACGAATTACGTACCCAGTTCTTATTTGCATACACACACGTCTGATAGATCCATGATAACGCGCGTCAACGAGGAGACAAACTCCAAGGGGATGGGTATATTTGATCGATACTTTCCATCCAGACCATAAATAAATACAAACGCAAAGGATATTCCTGTCTAAAACATGTATCACCGTGTTTTCCCTTGATTGCCATATTCTTTTGTTCCTTCTATTCAGTCTGACCTCTTTTCGGATTATATTCAGATTATCTGTTCGAATCATATTCGAATTAAAAACGGTTCCTCACGACAAGCTCGCAATATGCCACGGCTCGTTGATAACTTAATATAACGAAGCTCGTTGGAAAATGGTGTGATTGTGAATGGTGGTGTGATATAAATATTTTGAATAAGTTTACAGATTTTAGTAAATGTAACAAACGTGATGTATATACATATGTGAATGTGTGTACTACTTGGGTATGTTTTATCTATGACTGCTGCATACGTTCTGTTTGTTATTTGTATTTGGAGTCGCTCGTGGGTACAACTCAGGTTGTGATTTGTTGTATGTATTTGAGTGGTAATGGAAATCGACTGTTCCGATTGGTATATGTATACATGTACATATGTTGTGTGCGCGCATGGTATGATCCTCGCCTTAGCAGAGATCGCGTGGTCCTAAGTTGTGACGAATAATCATGCCAATACAGCCCCGTAGGTATCACCACCAGAGCGCGGTAACGTGCGAGCCGATCACGAGCCGATCACCTTTTCGTATTGTTTCCTTGATACAAACGAAATTCCTTTGGTATCGAAACGAAGCGTCAGCTTGTTGATGTAGTTGCGACGCGATTAGACAATGTTTTATATTTTTTCGAGTAAAACAACAGATGTAAGAGATGCAGTAAGTTGCTGACCGACACTCCGACAATTGTTTCCTTTTTTTTCTTTTTTTTTTTTTTTTTTTGTCAAAACGGGGACGTATAAGGTGGATGTATAATAGATTGCGATAATAAAAATCGACTAGGGACCAAATCATCGAGCATCGTTTCCCATTAACGCTCGTGAGTTTGCACGATTTCGACGAAACCACGGGAACAATTGGTTTGAATTACATTTACTCGCGAACAAGTAGAACAGTACGATATACCTATGTATTCATTTTCTTTCTAATCTTCCATATTCTTACACGACAGCGCCTAAGGGCGATAGCAGAAAAAATAGTCTGTCATGTCTTACTTCAGGATTTCTCAATTAAATGCTATTTTATTAGGAAGCTTACATAGTGTTTTCGTAAGACTCGCTGGACTTTTACAGGAGAGAAATGATATCGTTGATTACTCTCGACTGAATAGTAGCAGTTTCGAAAATGTTTTTCATTCATACCTTAATTCTGAAACGCAGCCAAAAATATCTTGCAAGTGGCAAACATTTGGATATTATTTTTGTTCGCACGATCAGCAAACCGTATCCATACATATTGGACTGCCAGACACACACGCACTCTTCAGTCTCCCTCTTATTTTTCAATTACTCTCTCCGCAAGAGAGAACTGTGCACGATTTCGCATCTTTTTCACAGAAAAAAGGACGAGCATCATTATTATTATTGACAATGGATTCGTGATTCAATCAAATATAGGTACAGAAAAGATCCGACAATAGATAAAGTACCAACGATTTCCCTTCGTGGATCTACGATCCGCTCAACATGACCTCGCAAATTATAACGAAAAAAGCCCATTGAACTTCGATATTCCGTTTAAAAATATGTTCTTTACTTGCTTCTTATTTTTAAAAAAATTTGGAACGAAAATATTTTTATCGAGAGTGTGCGAGGCAACTCGTCGAGTGGTCTACGAAAGATTCGTGGGCTGTTTCTGTGAGCAAACGAATCCTTCCCTTTTCGTTTCGAGCATCGAAACCGTCAAACAACTTACAAGTTGAACGTGAAACAACAGTCTTACAAACACAAGAAAACATTTTGTGAGACAATGTATATCTATCGTTCGTCTTACTCAGTTTTAATCAGATTGTGAAATAAGCAGTGAATGCTTCGCGCGGTGTATGGTATATCACGTCATGTCACATCGCACTGATAAATTCTTCATCGATTCACGCGAACGAACGCACGCCTTGTGCGTATACATCGTGTTCTCGCACACTCGCGATTACAATCCAGAATTTTACGTTTTTCAATAAAGTACGAAAAATGAAAACAAATTATATGCCCTTATCTCGCGGGTAGATCGCAACGTAAAGTCTTTTCAAATTGTGAATCACGAAAAATGATGCACAAAAGATCGAGTATGACTCATCGGTACAGCACAGCGGTTTTTTAGCACAAAACCTTACAAATCTCTATACAAAGATGTTTATTTATTTACTTAAACGTTAGTATTGTTTTTCTCATTTCAGAACACATTTTACGTGTAGTAGAAGCCACGATATAGCAAGGTCGTAAAATCGATGGCAATACTTCAATACATTACACGATATATAGAAACAAAATTTTCAAATATTCTAAATAATAACTTTAAACATTAAAACTACTAAGTAATATTTGCAGTGTTTTTACTTGTAAATGAAATACCGTTAGTCATAAATCGTCATTGTTTTGTTGTGCGGAATCCTACAACAGAATGCAGGATATACGGTTTCAAGTGTCGCGTCGTCAATGAATTGCTGGGTGTTTGATACTTCACTTTTACGACCTAGCTAAAATCGTGCCATTTTCCCCCACCCACCCACTACTACATATACTCGTTTATCGCTCCATATCGCGCACTCTTTCTTATTCCCTTTATCATTCAACCCTGCGCATCACATCGCATCCTATACTCGCAAATACACTTGTGTGCCAATAAACACACATACGTACATACGTACATACGTACATACGTACATACGTACATACGTACATACGTACATACGTACATACGTACATACGTACATACGTACATACGTACATACGTACATACGTACATACGTACATACGTACATACGTACATACGTACATACGTACATACGTACATACGTACATACGTACATACATACATACATACATACATACATACACACACGCACCCATCACATATTCTCCTTCTCACTCACTGTAGTCTGTCTCTGCCTTGTCGCGCGAGCATTACGATTATAGATCTATATTATGGCCGTGGATTTTTTTTCTGCGTTCTGATCATTTTTTTTTTGTCACAAACAAGGCTTTTGTCACTGTTTATCCTTTTTCTTCGGTCTACCAATTCTGCTCTTGGTCGGTACTACATTTTCTCCGGTAAAATCACGTGCATATTATACATACGTTTTAGTAGTTTACATACTGACGATTCAATCGTCATGGAACACACCCTCGATCGATAACGGTAAACATTTGAACAAAGTTTTGCGAAAAAAGTATGTACGCGACGCGGATCGATCGAGAGTGCCTACAAAATTTACTTAAACTACTATTTTAACCAGTATCAATTACTCCACGTGCAGATTGCTCAATCTTCGTATTTCGTTCACTTTTTTGGACGAAAGGTTGTACGGCTGTTATAACGTCGCGTCGCGTCACAGTATCTTCCTTCTTGTTATTTTAAGTTAACGATACACGTGGAAAATCGATCGTCTGCCATTGAACGTCTCGTCCGAAAAAGCTTTGCGAAAGAATAGATGATTGTGTGGTACTGCTGAAAATGAAAATGAAAATGAAAATGAAAAAAAAAACGCGAATTTCAGCAAAGTGTTGCCACAACGAAGAAAATATGGTAGAATGACACGAAGGACCGTCGCAATCGCCGACCGTCGTTGTATTATCTTTGGTCTTACGAAAAGGAGACCAGTAATCATGATATTTATATATTTCGATGCTCTTTTCAATAAAAGAGCCTCGTACGCAACGTCAATACTTTTTTTCGTCCTACGTCGTAAGTATGCATCGTGACGCGTGCGTTCGCACGATTTTCTTCGGTCAATTTTCGTTCGCGAGCGTTAAAATATCGAGGAAACGAATGATTTCGACAACCACTGAAAGTTCGAACGAATCGATGAAAAACTTAAGAACTTCTCAATGACCTTATTATGTTGTTTCATTTCTTGCAACGTTACGCAGACATGTTACCGAGTAAACTTTCCCAGGATTACGTTGAAAGAAAGAATAACGAGCAACGACATGGCTGCCTCCTTAAAAGTTAACTTCAACCGTGTGTTACGTGTGAGTAAAGGGAAGAAAAAACACCCACCTCACAGCGCAGATCACCGAATCGTGGAAAATTTGTAGCGAGTTTGTTTAGACGATGGAAATTCTTCGAACTAATAACGACACTGTCAACGGCGCAAGACGGAGGGGAGGAGGGAGTACATTCGATTCGACGAATCGTTCTAGTTCTCAATTGGATGCACGGAAATCTGATGTTTCTATTGGAAAATGTGGTACACTGCTACCAAGAAACAAAATTATTATGACCGAAGTAACCGGAAAGCGAAAAGAGTGTTGATAACTTGAATAACAGCGTTGCGACTGTGAGCGGGTAGACGATAAAACTCTACAAAAATACGTAACACAACGGTAATTAATAGATGATTTCGTACAATCTAAGCTCATCCAGAACATTTTCCGCTAAAGCGTTCCCCTTCCCTATAAGCCCCTTTTGTCGTCTATGGTTTTCTCCCAGACCCCTTTATATACTCATATTAACATTCTTACGACGCAGGTACAGTGTTTTTTTTCGTAGTTTTTTTTGTTATTTTCTTTTAGTTTTCCCTTTAAACTAATCTGTATCTTCCTTACATACTAGATTTCTACAAAGATACTTAAAAAGACGTTTACATAAAAAAAAAAAGAAAAGAAATGGCCGTATTTGTCGCCCCCTTTTTTCTCTCAATGCAAAACTCATTCGTTCCTTTCTTGGATATCTTATTCGCGACATTTTCGAACTTACACTCTACCACATCCTTAGATTCCTACTGAGCAAACTATTCAAAACATGCACCGAAGAACGCGTTCATCTTGCTTGTCGCCGCTATTTTCTACTACATATTTTATGGTTCAATAACGCATTGCGGTCGACCACACGCTTTAAAACACAATCAAAAAGGAAGAGAAACTCGCCAATGTTTTGCATTTCGATAAGTACAAACCGAATGTCACCTTTAGGAACATCCGTTCGCATTCTCACCGAAAATCGTAAGGGATATAATCTTTCATCGAACCGAGACAACGCGACGTGAGACGAAATAAAAGGAAACAAAATATCGCGAGACGACATTTCTCTTCCCTCCAGTTCACCCACCACATACGTATATAAATGCTTCACGGTGAATCGATGATACAAACGAACATGCATATACTTTTTACCCACTGTAAATCCAGTACTAATTAAAAGTAGAAACTGGAGAAAAATGATGTACCACTAAACATGCCTGTTTGTATCGGATTTCACGTGTTCTAGGTACCTTTTTTTGTCCACGTGTTGGACGTGGTCATATCGTTCGATCTGCCACGAAACAACGACGGATATACAATAATCGAAACGAGCGTCTTCGAAAGTGGGAACGGCCTGTGTAGGTAAAAACAAAAGCAAGTCGCGTTTGGACGTGTTGGATATGTCACGAGTCCGCAGAGTCCGTGTCATCGTCGTAGATGTAACGTAACGCGTGTGGGCAGAATTAGATTGCTTCCACATAGTCATCTCGTCCTAGCGAATCGTTAAACCAACCGATCGTAGAGGGTCGCGTCAATCCTGTTGTTATCCTTAATTTGACCGTTAGCAGACAACGTCGCGCTGTACAGTTTCGTATTCCTATATGCAGACGTGTAAATACGAATTTATAACGCTACCAAGAAAGGAGATGTTACCGTGAAGATAGAAACGTTCAGCCACTTGGAGACGCGATAACCGCTTTCCTCGTTTGCCATTCGAGCAGATCCGAACGAGCCTTTAGACGACGCTGCATCAATCGGCTCTCGGTAGGTGGCGACAAACCGAACAGCTGATGCAGCGACGATTCTTTACCGATCAAACGATTCTTCCCAATGGTTTTCGGATCGGAAAGATCGATGCTCGAACTAACCGAGCAACATTCTTGGCGCGGGTTCGCGTCGAGCTCGCTGCAGGAATGAGTCGCGCAAAGCTTACTGTGCTCAGACAGCTCGCTGCCCGAATCAGACATGTGCCCGTAAGGATGATTATCGTCGTCGGTGGACGACGTCGACAACCTCGGTTCTCTGTTCTCCGTCAGTTCCTCCAGATTCACGGAGAAGTGTTGAAGTACCACGCGATTCACAGCCATTGCCGATTCGGCAAACGTTGAGAGTTCCCTCGCGGAATTATTCCTCCTAAACAGGAACGAAAGCATTCGATTTATATTTACGAGAATACATAATTTAAGAAATGCAACTTATCAAGCAAGTTCGGCTTGTGCATTGTCAATCTGTTACACGGTATTATACAGTGAAGGATCGAGAAATAACCAACCTGATAATATGAGGCGTGGTGAGAGATTTATCGGTGTTCTCGACGGAACTAGGGCCAGGATTGATCCACGGATGTTTCAGAATGCATTCGGCGCTCAGCCTCTGGTGGGCTTCCTTGACCAGCAACCCTCTGATCAGATCTTTCGCGTCCTCGGAAATGCATCTCCATTCGCTGTCCGGGAACTCGTACCTGCCCTCTTGAATACTGGTGAACAACAGCTCCTGGCAAGCTTGACAATTTTCTCCTCTCTCCCAGCCACAGTCGGTGCCGCAATTCCCGTAGAAAGGTGGATATCCGCAAAGAAGAATGTACATGATCACGCCGAGACTCCATAGATCACAACGTTTGTCATAGTAGTTCGCTTCTCCGATGAAAGCCTCCACGACTTCCGGGGCCATGAAATCGGCACTTCCTACCGGCGTCAAAAGCTGCGGCGTGGCCACAGGACTGGACAGCGAGTTGTTGAACTTGATGCCCGAACCAAGATCAAAATCGCAGACTTTGATCGGCGTAAGCTTGTCCGGGTGCACGCACAAGATATTCTCTGGCTTCAAGTCTCTGTGAGCGATTCCTGGAGATGGAACGTAATAAACGGGTCAGCCGACTGATTGGGAGACTTACGAATAAATATTTTCGCGGCAGTTTGATACGCAATAAGCAAACCAACGAGGAAAAATTCAAAGTAGCTTTTACCCACCTTTCTTGTGAAGGAAATTCAACGCGCTCGCTATCTCCTTGATTATCTGACTCGCTTCCCGTTCGCTGAAATGAATCCTTTCTTGGATTCGACTCAACAGCTGACCTCCATTAACCTTCTCGAATACGAGATAAAATTTCTCTTCGTCCTCGAAGAATTCAATCATCTGAATTATATTTGGATGTCCCTGACAATGATGGAACGTTTCGACTTCTTTGAAAACGCGTGTCCTTGCGTGACCAGGGATTTTGTCGATTATTTTAACGGCATACTCCAAATCTGTGTACAGAGACCTGCAGGTCTGGACCGAAGCGTAAGCACCCTCTCCAAGGACTTCGCCCGTTAATCTGTACAACTCTGAAACAAAACTCATGGCGTTCGTTATTCGTACTTGAAACTGGTACAAAAGTGCAAGTCTGTTTTCGAATTACATTCAACGTTTTCCGAACGTCTTTTTATGGTTATTTCATGTTACAAGTTACAAGTAGGCTTTCCTCGGCGTCCACATTCATTCATTCATTCATTCATTCAGTCGTATCCTCGTATACAGAATATACGACATGTCCGATCCCCTATTCTCATGCTGGCCTAAAATATTCAGTTTTACGAATATGCAAGGGAAACATGTTTCGATTTAATTACTTCATGTACATATATTGTCTGTTATCTTGCCATTTCATTGACAAACGTTATCGCTGCTGAAAGGCACGTCGTCTCCGTCATGGTAAGTAAAGCATCGATCAACTAAGTTCTGCTTGGCGTAGCACTGTCAATGTTAAGGTCACGCAGAGGTAACGCGTCGAAACCGCCGCCGCCGTCTGTCTAACTACTACTACTACGTGCGCATAAATTTTCTCTCTTTGTCTTTCTGATTTCCTTCCCTTTTCAGATCTGCCCAAACTTCTCGTTCTTAATTACCTGCCTCCCACTTCATCCCCCCCCTCCATCCCACTCTGTTTCCCCTTAAACTCGTTAACATCCGTTCCATTCTGTTCCTCTATTTTCTAATTCGTTCTCGATCCTTCGTTTAATGATGCAACTGTTGCGTCGTTGCTATCAACCATACACACGCGCACACACTCTCTCTCTTTTCACCTTCTCGTTCGTTCTCGAACTCGCATCTACTACTTCCCCATCTAACCACCTCCACGGGATTTTTCTCCCTTCTTTCGCGCGTCCAGTTCCACGATACAATTCTGCCTGGCAACACCGCTGAATATTCAGCAACCGAAAGCCGATAAACACAGGTGTGCTTCTACTCCGCTCTACAACAATTTTGCACGGAAAGCTTAGATTAGGTACTGGCTACAGTTTCCTTGTAAAGCTCGGTGTAAAAAATTATCAATATATGCAATGACAACGACACTTTGTGCCAACTCGATCACCAATGTCGTTGTCTCTTTTTACCGGGTGCACGAGATCGGTGTTTCGAAACGAACCTCGATAGCAAACACCATATCACATCCAATCTCGTTCTATGTTATATACATATACAATCTTGCTATGCATATTAATTGATTCGGAGGCCAAGTTTGGAACATTGGCTACGACTCGAATAGCATCGATAAGTTCGCGGCAAATTTCGTATATATCGCGTCGTTGCGAATAACTTACAGCGGACGTTTTTCAACTTCGGGAAATTCGAAGTAAATCGTGTTACTTTATTGTTGTTTTTATTCGTAAAGTATGATAAGCTGATAAAAAATATTAATTCAAAGGGTTAGATGCGGATACTGATCGATGAGATAACCCGTGCCCCAGATTTTAAACGTATACGGGCCGCTCGTGTTCGCTGAGTTCGCGGCAAGGGTACACAGAGGTGGTAGAAGCTTCTCGAAACTGCTTTACGAATCGATCGTAGAGTACGATGACGTAACTGTAAGGCAGTGAACTCGATCGGCGGTTTACCGGTATATTTGTTTTAAACTCATCCACGAGCATTACTGCTATCTTTTCCGACGTCTCTACGGTTTACAAATTTTACTTTCTCACATTTTTCTCTTCTTTCGATACGAAACTATAAAAAAGCAACCTTTCATAATCAGTTACAAATTAATTATTACGAAATTTGAAGTGGTTTACGTTCATTATCGATGACAGAAAAAAATGTCTCACTAGATCTGGTGAAATCATACGCGTAATTGCGGGAATGATACTAAACGAAAATAACTTGTTTTACAAGTATCAAAATTAAGTATACTTAAGATATGTATTCGGCAAATTTCGAAAGTGAGGGAACGGAGAAACAAATGGCAAGCGATATCATTGATGATTTAATCGGACCACATCGAACAAAATTCATCGGCTTATTGCACCGGGAGTAAAAGTTTAGGCCTCACGTACGATCAATTCTCAAGGTATTCGCGTGAGAGTTTCTCGAACATTCTGAACTTGTACAAGGTCAGATACCTAAGTGAAATGCAAGTCACCGAAGCACGAATGACACACAAGAGAGACAGACAAACGTACGCAATGTGTCACAGTCACTCAGTGAGCGTGTGGGAACAAATAAAACACACAGAGATCCGTCTAATTAACAGTCACCCACACTTTCTTTTTTTTTTTTTTGTCTTTCTTTCTATCATTTGACCGAATGCTCGTTTCTGTAGTACTCCAGATCCATACAGTTTCAGAATACGCTATGGATGATTAAAAAAATTAAAGTGGTAGAATAGAGCTGTATAAATGTACTATCAGTTTTAAAGGACAAACCATCGTTTACCATAGTTAAGTTTCACGGATTGTTTGCCCACGATTGTCGATGTAATTTCTCACGTTCCTTTTTAAAACTATGCATATAAATTGATTTAGTTCCATAACGATAGTCATGATAACGCAATAGCTCTCCCCCCCCCCCTCCTTTTTTCTCTCTCTGTAGAGCTCGTATTGTCTTAATTTTTGTTAACGCGTCGACTGTCACGCTGTTTTTGAGACACCGGTCACTGACACCACGATCAAATTTCATTTGTGTCTCAGACGCCCGCAGTATACCAATTACATTGTTTACTACGAGTTAATTCGTACGTGACTTTTAATAGTAGAGACAAGAAGACAACCATCTACGAATATATGTATACGTACTGGACCTCGATGGCAAATTTTCAACTGCGAGTTATCGCGTAGTTGGCAGTCAACATGTTAATGATCGAAATGTACCTTGAAAACAAGAAGACATCAAGGAGGACCCAGAACGCTTCTTCCTTTGTCTTTTACGCCTGGCTTCTTCTTGTCGAGCTTGCACCGCGCTCATAGATTCTCCTGTTGTATTCACGGTATCTCTGCAACTGGTACCCTCTGAAACGTGCATTAAATTCCATTTTTGAAAATCGGTTACTACTCGGACAAAGGACAATCGATTGAATGCATCGACACAAACAATTATCCTGTTCCCCGAGAAGCAACAAAATAATCACATTTTGAATGAATTCGCAGAAGATACGTGGAGATGAGGATACGGGGGCGCATATAAGGGACAGTTGCGCAACGGTGCTGTGGATTCGCAAACGCAATTTTTTGAGAATTAAACGGTCGTTCCCGATACCGTAACATTCGGGCTTTTATTATTCTTGCGGACACAATGTTGTGTATACAACATCGACTCGAGCCTTTATCCACATTGCTCGAGTACCCTGACGGTGGGGGAGAGTAAAGAAGGGGTTCATTAGTCATCTTTCGTTTTGCGCTTATTAATAATATTTACGTTATCAGTCATGGATAACGTAAGTAGGAACGTGTTCGATTCGGAATTCGACGCTGATACGCGATTAAATAACACAAGGCGTTTCCAACATTTTTCGGGTACAATTTGTGTTAAAAACGGAGCAATAAACACGCGAGAGACAAACTCGTCGATGTTTCTAATCTACCTAGTAAAAAAATTCTATCCGTGCAACTGCGATTGGCAGAATCTACCGAATCAAGAGAACGGGGAATGGAAGTAACCGTTTAAAACTTCAAAATGTTCGGTATCAAATACCACTCTTCCGAAGCAAAAACAGGAAAGTTCGCGTAGGTCGAACAGAAATGAGAATCAAGACGAGGTCAACGGAACGAGATGGAACAATAAAAAAATAAAACAAGCACGGCGGAAGACGACCTACAGGCAGTGAGAAAATGCTTGGCGAACAATTAACAGCAAATAAACAAAGCACGTGAACGTAATTCAGTTGTTTGTGAATATATTTTGGTTGCTCACGTCGCTAAGACTAGAGGCAACGGACAACGGACTATGTACGACCGAGAGTTCAATGACTGGCACAGAAAAGGAACGCCGCCATCTTAAGCGAGATATGCACGTACGATAATGTCGCTGCATCCGCAAAACTACCGAGCCAATCTAGAAACCCGTCTAGAACGTCCGAATTATCAAGTATTCAAACATTTTATATGGACTAATGTCCTTTCGGTAATTGTTACTGATGTTATACGAAATTTTCCTTTTCAGCAACCACGGAAGGTTGTGGAAATACATACGTACTAAATATATTATATATGTATAGGTACTACGAAGAAGATATATACATATATAATATCTCCCTCGATCATGCTTTTACGTAGGCTTGATGAACAGTGAAAATGAAATGCGAAAATTGATTTTCGTGAAACGTGACATCAACTATGGATATATGACACGCGCTTGTTCGACCATCGACGAGTTCCAACCTTTGTTTCCTTTCACGCTATTGTATTACGAAATAAAAGACTTCTCCGTTTGTTCCCACAGATTATTATCGTTTATTACGTGAATTAGTTAGGAATTTTACGAGCTAGAAAATCACATACGAAAACATTCTATCATACGCCCCTATCTTTATTTTTTAGGAAAGAACTATTTTCTAAATACAATTACTATACGATGCAAGAGTTCAGCGTCCTTTATTCTAAAAACTGTCGCTTGTATAATTTTGTAACTACGGTTTAAAACGCTAGAAGGAACCCTCCACTTAATTGGAGGGGGGTGAGGGCAACGGACTGTCATGCGCAAGGACCCTTTCCTGTTTCCTCCTATCGTTCGTTCTTTTGTTAGGTTACCCTTACCGTTGCCCTTCACGATATGCGTCGAACTCGAACGATCCGACTAACCCACTTCGCCCTCGAAAATAATTCAACGACGCGTTTTGAATACGTGCCGACCTGTGTCGCTGTGTCACGTCGCCTCGCTTCGCTCCATCTCTCCTCATCTCACGCGACTACATAGCTTTGCGCGACGTTGCGTCGCGATTCTCCGTACACCAGAAATGTTACAGTAGAGAACAATGTTTTCAGGCATCTGTCTTTCCGATTTCCGACTAAAGGATCACGACATAACGAATTTATTAGTAAAATGGGTATCGATATACGCCGCTAGGTCAACTTTTCATTCGACACTTATGTACTACACTCCGATGTAACGTGTTTAGAAGAAACGACCGATGTTACCCCTATCGGCGTAACATCGCTCTCGTCTGACACATCAAACGGGACGATAAAATTGATTTAAAGGGAAGTTTTCATTTAACGTATATCTGTAAACACTATGAATCATTATACATTTTCTGCATGGTTCTACCCATGAAAAGTTGTTTTACAAATGGCCAACCAAAGATGATAGAGAAATAACCGTAAAGATTCCTTCCTCTGCGACCAAACTGATATCAACGGGCGTAACATACGTATACCGAAACAACCATGTTCGAAGGTTTGGCAACGATGGTTGCTGTGTACCGACTTCGAGAAAGTTCTCCCGTCGAGTAACTTGGAGCGTTCCGTGCTCGGAGCATTTCCATGACGGTACGTGTCTGCTTTGATATTGTAGTACACACAATGTATTTCGAATGATTTTCTAAACGAAACTTCATATTTCGGTACCCAGTATTTGGGGACGATGGGATGATAGAATGGGCGAATATCGGAACATCATTGGTATCATATAATGTGACCACGCCACGGGCAGAATTCAATCAATATGAAATACGAAACTATCACCAAAAACTATAGTTAAACGAATACAACCAGTTCAGATGAAAGATTTATTAATTGGTAGCATCGATGAACCGTAAAACGATTATTGGCAGTTTCAACGCTATGAGGATGGATTCACGTTGATACTGTACATACATTGAATCTCTCGATCGAAGGTATTGAAGCTGTACAAAGAAATTTTCTTACCTCGTCCAATCTCCTGACATCCGTCCTCTCGTTCTTCCAAGATTTTCTCCACCATTTTTGCCAGCGATAATATTACACCTCGTTGCGTTCTAAAATCTAACTTCCTCTTGATCTCCTATTTTCAACGAACAACGGTGGAACGTTCTCTTAACTCGATATCAATTAATATAAAAAAGAGTCAGTCGTATATACAAAAACATCTATATACACTAAAGTACTGATATAAATCTTCCTTCCTAGCACTCAACGTTCGCTTTGTGCACGCACAATGTCGCTCTATACGGTACGCGTGTGTACGCGTGTTTTTCACCGTTCTTCTCTATTCTCCTCGATTCGTCTCTCTCCCTCTACCAACGTACTCCCAGGATAAATCGATGTATATCAGTGTCGATATCACAGATATAAATAAATATATAAAGGCTATCTATTTCTCTGCCCTTCTAACTCTCGCGGTTTCTTCAAACGACAGAAGACAATGCTGTTGTAATCAATGATACGTGTCGTAACTTGTATGTATATTTCGAATAAATACTATCACAGACTTTGACACTGCACTTTTCTTCCTTCTTTTTTGCTTTCCCTTTAATCCCGCTCACTCGATCTCTCTTCTTTCGTTTTCCCTTATGTCCAGCAATATAAGCCGACACAATTCTCTTCCGACTGCCTTCGATCCGATTGCGTTCCCAATGGGCGAGTCTTTGGTCGGAAAAATCCAATTTCCCGTCTCGTCGACCGCCAACAAATCTCACCTACCGCCGCTACTTCGATTCCTCTCTTCGGTTTGGAGAATTTTCGCCGGATAAACCAGGGTTTTTCCGTTGACGAAAACCTTGTGATGGTCGGTTCTCCGTTGTCGCTATTGTACAGGTACTCGCACGTAGCGGTAACCGGGCTCGGAAGCGCATTAAAAATCCTTCTGTTAACGCATCGGTGCCTCTTCTTCGTTCACCTTCCCTCACTGCTCGGCAGTTGGTTTCCGACTGAGTCTCACAAGATGGTCGCTTCGCTCACTAACATCCTCTCCGCCCTCTGCGCCAGCCGTTCGTCACTGCATCGACGCGATTCGCCTATCCCCGCTTACGAACTCGCCCTCTCGTCGCTCAGTTGCTTCCACGTAGAATCGGCTGACTTCGTCGACGCCCTCTGAAAACGCGCCGTGCCGTGCCGCGCCGCGTCGCGTACTGCTCCGCCAGGGGCTCTCCTCGCGGGGCGACGTTGCGCACAGTATCTCTACAATTATCAGATTGTATGATGCAAACTTGACAGGATTTGCAAATATGTATTTTGAATCGATACTCTTCAATTTTGAGCACCGTGTTTCGCTGTGTCGAACGAAGCACTTTGCAATCCTAATTGTGAGTATTACGTTGTAACAGCTTTTCAAATTCGTCTTCTCTTTCTACCGGTTTCTTTCTCATTTAGAAATTTGTTACTCGATAATCTCGACTGGAGAAATCAACTAAAAATGTTTTTGCTTGGTATGGTTTGAACAGTGCATGAGAGCCACTGATCGTTCTGGTGGTAGAGTTAGTTTACCGGCAAAGGACATTGTCGCACGTATGATTTTTTATTCAAGTTTTCGCCAAAAATTCTGAATATCGTACGTTCACCGTCCCGGTCCACGAATTGGATACTCGAGATGTTTACATCTAGTATCATTTATACCCGTGTGTCGAGGCCAGAGTTAGATAAATGGATGGGAAATGACGCCGCCGGTAGCGTACGTGCGTGTGTATGCGTGAGATACGATGCGCGCGCACAATGGCCACCAGCCACGTAAAACATTATGCGACGCAAAAGAACGATCGGGAATCGGGTATTCGGTGGGTACGTGGTGTGTGTGTGCCGCGCGCGACACCGCTACAAGAATACACGCGGGGTAAGAGGACACAGAACGCAAACCCAGCAAAGAGAAAAAGAGAAAGAAAAACGGAAGAGAACGAGCGAGTATTGGTTAACTTCTGTGTGTGGTGTCGTCCGACGAATAGCGACGAGCCACACGCGTGCGCGCACACACATGCGTCGTTTATATGGCTTACGATGCTATGCGCAGGCTCGAGTCGGCCATCGAGGTTTGTTTTCAATCGTCCGACATCGCGTGAACTTGTTGCCCGTATAATCGCTACGGTATTGCGTCGTAAGTTTATTAGCCGTATTATTATTACATAAGGCAGCACGGTCGATTGTTTACCTACAAATGTGTCACAAGACACGTTGCTATTCGGTTATGTACAGTTGATCGCTACTTCTAATCAGTTAATATAAATTAATTAATATTATCTCTATGTATATCAATACATAAATATACATATGTACATATGTATGTATGCACACATATTTTGTTACGAGAATCAACGTATTGACGTACATGACATAATTAATATCTTATATTGGCCCCACATGTCTATTATAATCATGGTTTTGATTCTCGTACCGTGTGTGAATGTAGAGAAGCAAACGCGGCGAGTTTGTTACCTATTACGTACATGTGTAGAACTGTTGTTGTCGCGTTGTATCATCGGTGTGATAATAGAGCGTGCGTCCGTTATAAAAACATCTCGGATTACAATAAATAATAAATCGGACAACGTACGATTACATGAAACACTAAATATGTATTTTACGTCTGCGATATGTATTTTGTAAACCTTTAGTGTCGTTAGAGAATGACGTCCGTATGCTGTTTTTCTCTAAAACTTATGTTTATCATTTCTAGCACCTATACGAAAGATTAACACCTTAACAAAAGTTTGGTTGGAAGCGACACGTCTTTACCATGAAAACTAAAAGTTTCACGTCTAAATAGAAAATTTAATAGACAGCATTCGATCGTACAAAATAACAAGCGCAAACCGGTTTTAGCACGTGGCGGGAGCTGTTCGATCGTGTTTGCTGAACCAACACCCACCTAAGACACCTACAGATTTGTGTACTTTCTTTCACTTTCGAAATACTCCCGCTGGACGTGTTTGTACGTTTTGTCATGTTGATAGAACAAGTTGCCAGGGTTATGTGTACAGAAAAATAACCGATTGGAACGGTGACTTTTATATTTCCAAAAAGAGCGTAGAAAAATATCAGCGATTACAAATCAAGAAATTATTGCAAAAAAACGTTTGTTTACTTGACGAGTTAAATAGCGCGATTGTAAGATAGATTGCTAGGAAAGATGTTTGGATCAAGATGGTGAATAAGTGCTGATAAACTGAACGTGCGTAGAGCATTTTCGTGTTAGAATCGATGAAACGAGGAGTGCCTGGAGGGCACGGCGGGTGAGTCGGGTGAGGTGGGCAAGGAGGATGAGGCAGGTGCCAAGAAAGAACGTTGCTGCCGCCGCCGCGTAGTTTCGGTTTTGGGATAGGAACCAAGTAATAATGGAAGGGATGGAAGGCTAAGAGGAAGTACGAGGGGGGCTGCTGCTGCTACGTAAAATAGCGCGAGGTGGCGCCTGCTCTTTGCTCTATCGCTCCGTACGCTTTGGCGCGTTGATTCCGAGATATCTATACAAATATGTACTATTGTTTACTATACCTATATAGTACATATACTATGTATATACACGCATATTTATTCAACAATATATCTTTCGCATCATATGTTCTTTAAACACGAGGAATTGAGATAAATTTCAGTACGTATTATTGAATGATTAAGAACATTAAAGAATTATTTTAGTTAAAACGATTATTCGAATGAACTTGGTAAGGGTAGAACGTCGTTCCCTTTTTGTATTACGTCAGCCTTCGTGCGCGAGATTGACAAAACCATCGAATTCATTAATTTTAACGAGTTATTATTGGTCACCACATGTCGGTGACTCATCCAATCACGATTATCGCCTTCGTCGATTTGTGATAGGTCGAAAAACTTTTAAAGCAATACACTAAAAATTTCTTCATCGCATTTACTTATCATAGGCATGAAAAGAATTTCAAGTGAACGCTGATAACGACGCTGTGTATGCGTATTGAATAAAAATAATAAGTGAAACAGCAACTGACTAAAACAATTTCACTCCAGAGACCTATCAATGCGTGAATTGCGACACAAGTTGGAAGAGAGAACTTTAACCGGAGAACTATTTTTTAGAACTTTTAATAACTCTGGTAATATTCGCTCAATCAATAGTATTCATTTAGGATTATTTTCGGATTGACAACATTTCTACGATAGGAAATCAAGTGCCAAAATGTATTCAGAAAGACACCGGCGAAATAAGTTTTGTTTCCTATTCGTTTTAATAATTGACGAGGATAAAAGAAAAGTGCGAGTAATTTTGTTCGGAAATTAAATATACGTTCGCACGCAGGACACACGAATTTATGCTGCACGTGGATCCACGATTCAAGGTCGAGTACTACGATGCGCAAAAGATTTCGCTTAACTCAAGGTCTTCCGCATGATGGTCGGCTTCGGTTGTTTCTTTCATGGAGCGTGAATTTCATGGAAGACCTTTTACCGAGTGCTTTTCTTTCGATTAGAAACAAGGTTTCGATTCGGAGCTTTGAAACGAGCTGTGATCTTATTATTGATGGTTTCGTTTCTGTTTTTCAGTTTTTCGTTGTCTAGTTCTATTTATGATGTTCTCATAATAGTCTTATAATTACGAGGCTGACTAAACACCGACTGTGACGTTATTTGAGACACATCTGGCTTACCTGCCTGTGTATCTGCACGAACAGGTACCATTCTTAATTGTAAAACCTGTTGCCTATTTGGAGGACACGGATAAAGTATGATTAACGGTAATACGCGCTAGAAAGAATTCAGCCACGGTGTGACGAACAATGTTTATAATTTGTGATCCGAGATCAAGTTTGTAGTTTGATATCGTAATTGTGAATGTAAACATCATTGAAGTGCTCGCGTGTATTCCGGTATCAGGCGAGAAACGAGATAATACGCTCTTCTCAAATACTTATTCCTGGACGTCGTAATTTTGAGAAAGATAAGAAGCCTTCGATGATTAAGCTCGCGTCTCATCGTGCCTTATCGTGTCTCACCGTATCGTAGAACACCGGCAGATAAGCTCCGCTTCAAAACACGTTCTTATCATTGTTTCTAATGTCTCCTATCACTAAAAGAGTTGGATTTTCTATGATGTATTGTTACGGTAGAAAGATAGCTTTGATTTTGTTGTTCTCGAGGAATTGTGTGATAAAAAATTAATATCAAATTTGAGCGCTAGAATTGGTCGAGGTCATCGACCGACGTTCGTCGACCTCTCCAGAATTTGTCCACCATGCTTATTTCTGGATGTCGTTAAGAGTATTTTCCAAGAAATGTGCGTGCGTATGTCCCGCCTCAAGGCCAGCCGTACTTTAACAAATTAAAGCTTGATGCGTGGATAGAATCGTCCGAACTTTAACGATTAATGTTCGATTGTTCGGCCTTTTAATCGTTCCTGAAAAGTGGTAGGTAACTTTGTTGAAAATGACTTTTTACCAGACTTTTTCCGTTCTTGTATGATTATATGTTATCGTGTTTGCATGGTTCTCGAAAGGTACTCAACGGTTTTCATAAACAAAACCAACTCGAGTTCCTGAGTTTGCAAACGCTTTCGAATCGATACATTGTACATGCATATGTATCATTCTCGATCTACTTTGGCTATGCATTCGAGGATTTATGGGCGACGAAGTCAGAAATCGAACAGCTACGCATAGTGAATAGACTGCAGAACTTTATGCAAATTCAGATTTTTCTGGTTTAATTTATTGAACTCGTTATGTCTGAGAGTTGTTTCTTTTATTATCGGTTTTGTTACATCCAAAGAACAATGAAATTGATACTAATCTTCACGGAAATTGTTATGGTATTGCGTTTTGTTAATTCATATTTGCGATAAATGCATAAAATTATCAATTTAATAATGAAGGAGGATGATCCGATCGTACAACTCTCTATATGTATGTATTTAGACGTTTTCTCGTTTAAAACCGGCTATACATTGGAATGATTCGAAGCAGTAGGCATTTCGTGCATTTTTACCTGAACATGATGGAGCACGTTTGTCGTATCGAACGGTTGGGAATAGGTACTTGTGTAGGTATATACCCGTTGTTCGCACAAATGTTAACCGTAAAAAGGTGCCAGGTATAATTGTATACATATAGTTATTTGCTCCTCGATGGGTGATCGTTTCTGTCTATCCGAACGGTAAGTCGTAAAATTGTTGAAAAGAGCAAAACATGTGCGGTCGCGGCAACTCGAGGGTCCGAAATTGACGAATGGCTTTCGCTTTCAACGAGTGCGCGCACCGTTGTTGTATGTATACATATAGTATGTATAGGCGATTGAACTTTGCGACACGCGAA